GTCATGATTTCTTCATCGTAATGAGTGTAAATGACCCAAAATATATTTTAGGGTAGAAGGGTAGATCTAACCTCTTTTCTCACCTCATTTCTACCCTCATGAATTTTCATACGGAATCTCTTCTCTCGGTTTTCCGAGGGAAGCAATCATTATACTTTGCATTTGGTACATGTCATCTTTGACCGAACGAATGAGGCGAAGTTGTTTGTTATATTGTATGTACTCGTATTCTTCATTTATGGCTTCATGAACGATAGCAGTTGTTGTGTTCTCTGATGTTGACATTACTGTCATTTCATACAAAATAAAACTAACTTTATTTTTTCTGACTTTCACAAAAGACCAAAAATAAACGCTTTACATGTATTTTTCAGCAACTTCGTCAAATAATTTTATAGCTTTATCTATCTCATCTACTTCAAACGTTTCTTTACCTTTCATGGGAGCACCATACATTTTCTCAAAAACTTCAAGCAGTTCTGTTTCAGCAGCTCTCATATCATTAACGAACACAACCTTGACTCTATTGACTGTACTGTCATATCTTTGAGTTATATTATATGTTCTTCCTATCTTATATCTTTTTGTATTGAAGTCCTTCGGTTTCTGAACGATGTAAAGTAAGCCTTCACTGCAACGTTCTGAGTCGAATGAACCATAAGTTATGAAGTTATATCCAACAACTGGGTCTAACCATAACAAAACTATTGGTATAAGACTTTTGTCTATAAGATATGCTCTTGTTCCATGAAATGCTACTGATATCATAAGCTCAGGATTTCTTGTCAAAATTTTCTGAGTTGAAGCAATTCTAACCCAGTCCTTTGTTTTCTTTCCGGATGGTGTTATAATGTCTGACAAAGAATATTTGTTGTAATTCTTTGAGTATCTTACGTTTAAATCACCTATTCTAACCTCTTTGGTGTCATTGTCAATCTTTCTAACTGTTTCAAACTCAATGTTTGTCATTACTGTCTTTACATACAAAATAAAAAATTTTCTTAGAAAAAATTAGCGTTATTTTTCTAACTAATGAAATTCATGAAATTTGTTGCTGAATTCAGCAAAAATAATGTTTACGTTAATGGTTTCAGGTTATTCAATAATTAATTATTTTTGAAGAACTGAAGGTGTCACCATGTCACCATGTCACCAGGTTATTTAACTTCTCTGAAAAAATGAGACAACATGACATTTTGACAACAACACAGGAGGAAGGCAGTTATGAATTATTTTTGAAGAACTGAAGGTGTCACCATGTCACCATGTCACCAGGTTATTTAACTTCTCTGAAAAAATGAGACAACATGACATTTAGACAACAACACAGGAAATATGATGCAGTCCAAAAATAAAGTTAGTTTTAAAATTATTTTTATTTTTTTTTATTCCTATATAAATGACAGCAACAAACAACAACAGCAACTTTATCGTTTCTGATGAAAAAGTTATTGATTCATTAGCTGAGGAATTAGTTGTGGCAGAAACTAAAACCCTCAACGAAAGAATTGGTGAAAACAAGATTGATTTACATAACTACCTCAAACATGATGGAGGAAGAGGAAGGAAAACTGGTATGGCTTTATTAGTAAATAAAATTTCAAATTTAACGATTATAGATGTTGATATCAATAAATCGTACAATGATGAACTTAAAGAAACAGTTAGAAAAGATATTTTATCAAAACTTTCGGATAAAGATGTTATTGTTAAAACCGCTTCAGGAGGTCTTCACATTTATTGCAACACTAATTTCTTCTATTCAACCTCGAACAGAATGATTAAATGTTATTCCTGCAATGATTATGATATTGATATAATGACTTCTATGGATGAATCAAAGCGTTCTTTAGTGGTTATGGCTGATTCAAGAGTTCGCAAGAATGCATCAGAACCAATCAATACATACTCATTCATTCGTGGAAGTTACGATTCAACATTAACCAGAACAGTGAATGATATATTAAATGATTTGAATATTAAGGTAAGAGTTGAACAGAAGAACGAAGAAATAAAGAGTATAATGAATGAAAACAAAGATGTAAACATTGACGATAAACTTGCCCAAAGCATAGTTGATGGCATCTGTGATTTTGAAGTACATAATGACGGTGGAAACATGAATTTAGAAAAAGAAATAACATTATTCACACTGTTTCAAGCAATTAATTCGTTACCTAATCATTTAATTAATGAAGCATACGATAACGTTTATAACTTCTGCAATTTAACTGAAAATGCTAAAAGTAATTTTGAAAAAGCACGTGGTAGATATGCACATTTAATGACTTCTCCATTTGTTTTAGTGAAGATTCTAAAACTATACCAAAATGAATATTATGATGAATACGTTTTACCTTTATTACGTAAGCCAAAAATAACATTTGATATCAAACTTGATGACTCGTTTTTGATAACAGATATTAGACGCAGGGCTGAAAATCATCAGTATAAAAACAGTTCTGAAGTAATTGAGGATTTATCACGTGTAATCCGTTTTGTAGATTGTGGAAATAAATATTTCATTCAAAAGGACTATAATATTCATGATAAAATGAATCAAATATCATTTGTTCTTCAGTCAAACATGAAAGAGTCACTCAAAATGATTAAATTATTTAAAGAAGAAGGTAAAACAATAACAGCATGGGACGTACTATTAAATCAATTGTCTTCATTAACCGTTAAGGGTGTTTGCTTTAAATCTGATTCTCCAGATGTTTTCTCAACGTTTCAGGGTTATAAATACAACATTCTCGAAAAGCCTGATTACTCAAAAATTGAGATGTTTATGGATTTCATTAAAGAAGCCATATGCGATAATAATGATGAAGTGTATAAATACCTACTCGGCTGGATTGCATCAATGATTCAACATCCTGGAATCAAGAATGAAACAGCAATTATTTTGAAAGGACTTCAGGGAACAGGTAAAAACAGATTCACGGACATTATTTCTGAACTTCTCGCTGGTTATTCATGTAAAAACATTACCGAAATAGGTGAGCTAACGGGTAATTTCAATTCGGTTGTTGAAAATAAAATGTTTCTTGTACTTAATGAACTCAAGAATGTTGGTGAAGACAGACTTGCAAACTTCAACGCTTTGAAATCAATTATTACGGATAATGAGATTAGAATTAATGAAAAGAATCAACCCAGAAGAACTGCTCAGAACGTTGCAAACTTCATTTTCGTAACTAATAACGTCTACCCTGTCAAAATTGAAGTTGGAGACAGAAGATATGTAGTTTTAAGAGTTAATGGTAAATTTAAGGGTCAATTTGATTACTTCAAGAATTTAATGGATTCATGCACAAAGGAATTTTATGATAACCTTTTAACATATTTTATCAATTACGACCTTTCATCATTTAATGTACGAATCATACCGATGACTGAAGCCAAACAAGATTTAATAGAATTATCAACAAATCCTTTAGATGTATGGATAAATACACATTATGATGAATTGTGTGCAGGTATGATATGTAAAAATGCTCTATTCTGCAAACCATCAGACATGAAAGACAAGAATTTCCAAATGAGCATTAAGGATAAATGTGATAGGAAACAGAGAAGAATAGACGATAAACAAACATGGTGTTATGTTTTGAAAGAAGAAATGAAAGGATTATAGAAACAGGTTGAACCAAACGATAATGAGGATTCATTTACTGACGATGAAATACCTGTAAATGATGCTTTATAAAGTATGATTGGAATTTATTTTTGCATTAATCCTCCTGTGTTGTTGTCAAAATGTCATGTTGTCTCATTTTTTCAGAGAAGTTAAATAACCTGGTGACATGGTGACATGGTGACACCTTCAGTTCTTCAAAAATAATTCATAACTGCCTTCCTCCTGTGTTGTTGTCAAAATGTCATGTTGTCTCATTTTTTCAGAGAAGTTAAATAACCTGGTGACATGGTGACATGGTGACACCTTCAGTTCTTCAAAAATAATTCATAACTGCCTTCCTCCTGTGTTGTTGTCAAAATGTCATGTTGTCTCATTTTTTCAGAGAAGTTAAATAACCTGGTGACATGGTGACATGGTGACACCTTCAGTTCTTCAAAAATAATTAATTATTGAATGGATTCACTACTGTTCCACCTTGAGTCACAACACTTGCCCCGGCTAATTGTGAAGAACCTGGGATAAGTACTCCATGAAATGATTTCATTGGTATCATTAATTTAGAAATAGTTGGCTTAATTAATTTTGTCATTTATGATAAAAATAAAAATTTAAATTATGCCGTTCACTCTTTTGGAGCTCAGGACTTTCAGTCCGTTCTAAAGTTTGTTTCACAAACATTGAGCGTTCATTGAACTCTATACCATGCGTAAACTGTCATGTAAGGTGGCATGTATTCTTTACTTTGTCCCGTTGTTTGTGTATATCCTGAAACGAAATGTGTATGGTTTCCTTCTCCCTGAGTGTCACTCCAGTAACAATTTATAGCAAACTTAACGTCGTCTTTAACATCATATCCTTTACCTTTTGTCATTCCTGACCAATCCCAATATCTATGCTTATGCCAACCTGCTTGAGATGTACTTAAATCTATGTAGTGACTGTGTGCAGGTAAATTTTCACCTGAAATCGTTTTACTTCCCCCTGTTTCCTTTGAAGAGTTTGCACAATACAAAAACCTGTCAACTATTTGTTCCCATGCACCAACACCAAACATTACTTGAGGACCTCTTGCATCCATAGATGTATAAATAGAACCTACTGGGTTCATTAAATCAAACATATGAGATATTATAGGATTGTCTCTTTTGAACTTAAAATATAGTGCAACTATTTCTGGTTTCTTCTGGTTTGTGTCAGAATATTTTTTATAATATAATCTTATGTTTTCAGGGTAGGTAAAATCTTGACTATAATATTTATTTCTGTCATCTGTATAATAATATACTATTCTCGTTTTTTCTATTGCATTATATCTTTTATATCTATAATAATCTAAATATAATGTTAGCTTTTGTTCATCTACACGTGGTGTTCTCTCGTCATCTCCATAGTCATAATAATATGGTGCTGGAGCTGGGTCAGGCAATGTCATATCTGCCATTTCATAAACTCTTAAATATTTCTTTTGTTCGTCTCCATATAAGTTTAAGTAGCAGTTGTTGTCTAATGGAACTTTAACTTGTGTACCATCATTCTTTTTATAGCTTACATACATTTCATTGTTATTTTTCGGAATGAGTTTACACTGTGTACCATTTTTTAAGGAGTGTACAAACTGCCATCTAAAATATTTATTTTCTTCATTGACAGAAAAGTCACCAACAATAGTTTCAATATTTTTTGTTCCTATCAAACTTTGGTATATTTCGTTAACATATGTTTTATCCGCCTTCTTCTCTAACTCATCGTTAACATATGTTTTATCCGCTTTAAGGTCTAAACATCCTGAAACCCATCCTGTATCGGCTTTAGTTTTTAAAATCTTTGATGTCCATTCATGATACCATTCAACCCTTTCTTTAATTTCATTATCTTTTTCATCAACATAAACCAAATTTGCCTTCTTCTCTAACTCATCGTTAACATATGTTTTATCCGCCTTCTTCATTATGTCATTTAGGAAACCCTCTATGAATTCCTCATTTAAATTAAATCTTCCAATCTTCAAAACTTTAGGAAATGCATTTAATGCGTAATATCTCTGTTCTTCTGGTGGAATTGATGTTATATCATCCGTTATTCCTTTAATTTTTGAATTCATAAATAAAATTTCTTTTATATTTGATATCACTGCACCACCTTTGCAAACGAATTCGAAATGTTCATTTTTCAATACTATCTCCAAATCTCCATATTTCAACCTTTGCGTTTGTTCTGCCGTCTTTGAATTATATGCATATATGGCGTATGTAATGGTCTGAAGGACCTGGGTGCTTTGCGCCTTAAGTTGCTGTGGTTGCTGTTGTTTAATCATTTATTATGATTTAAAAATAAATATTTAATCCGTTATCTCATCAGCTATTTTTTCTATTTGAAATTGCCATAATATTTCATTCATAAATTTTAAATCACAATCAAATAGGTCAGTTATTCTAAATTTAATATTTGATAAATCTTTTGAATGAAGAATAAATGAATTCCCGGATAATTGAAACGGATATGTTAACGAAAATGTGTTTAAGTTGATGGATAAAATGTTTTGTATTGATGGGTAAGAGTTAGGGTCTAATGTTTGATGTGAAAATCTCATTGGGGTATTAACTTTATCACATTTGATTAAAATGAAATTGGAACCAGTGTCAGAATACAAAACATCCCCAACATCTTTTTCAAAATTTAATATTCCCAACAATGAACGAAGATGAGGAGTACAAAATTTAATTTTCAGCGGGAATTTAATAAGGTTATTTATTTCATCAAGTTCAAAAAGTTTATCAGGTTTTGATTTAAAATTTTCTTCATACCATACGATAAATGATTCATTTAAATAACTTAAAATCATGTTAATATCCCATTTCGTTATCACATTATTTATATACATATCATACGTTTTTTCATGGTCATCTTTAATAAATGATATATAATCTGAAGGGTCTAAAAGAATGGGATTAAATTTACCACTCACAGAAACGAGAGTAACATTATAAATTCCGCTAACTGTTAAATTTAATTCACAGCTATTATTCGAAATAATATTGATAATTGACATTTTTATTACGATTAAAAATATGGTAAAGCGTTATTTTCCAGTGATAAATAAAACTAGAATAAGATTACCTCAAGAATTCATAAATTCAACGAATAAGAAATTCATTCATGTTATAAATTTTAGTGTTTTCAGAAAATATGAGTCAATGTCATATTCATCAACAGGTTATATTTCACTTCATTCAAATTTAGTTCAATCAAACCCATATAATGACCATTTCATAAGATTTTCAGATGGTATTAAAAATGTAATTGATAGATTAAAATATGAACAGATTGACAATATCGAATTTTTGGAATTTTGGTTTAAATATCCCGATGGAAAAAAGATTGAAGTTAAAGATAAAGCTGATACTATAACAAAAACAATTACAATGACCGATCCAGATAGTGGGGAACAAAAAGAAATAAAACAAACGATAGAAACTGGTGAAAGGTCAATTATTTATCGATTATGATTCAAAGGATTATTATTCGATAATGTTAATGCTTGAATATTAAATAGCCTTAACAAAGAATTTTTCAAGTGATATTTTATATTCATCAACTATTTTATTATAAATATCATTATATGTTAAATGAAGTTCAGTTGTTGTTCCGTTCTTTGATATCTTAATTGTGCTAATATCCTTTATAGGATTTATTTTTGCAACTGTTCCGCAGCATGAAACCTCATCATCTATGAAAAATTGAATCTTAACGTCTGAATCTTGAACATCACAAAGAATGGCGATAATGTGAATTAATGATTCATAAGGTAAAATAATTAAACCGGATTGGTCAATTAAATTTATTATTGAATCATAATTATTAATTATTATATCACGGTAAATTTTCATTAATTCAGAATTAATGTCTATTTTATATGGGTTCTCGATGTTTGATGAAAGAGGCGGGGGGTATGTTGGATAAGTGGGAATTTCAACGGGTTCTTTACCGGGTTCAGATAAAATGATTGGGTCTCCATTCTCATGGTTTTCTTCATTCTCCTCATTCTTCGGTAAGTCACGAGTTAATAAATTTGGTTGAGTTGCTGACCTTGTTAATTCGGGGCTAACATTAACTTTAACATTTTGAATAATTCGTGATTTATCATCATTTACGTTATAACCAACCGTAATCTCTGCTTTTGCGTTAGTGTTCTTTTGACTAGTGAAACGTCTTCTCATTTATAATCGAATAAAAAAAATATATTTAAACTTTTATTTTGCTGGAACTTTTGAATCTATTATTCCCTGTATTTGTTCTTGAAGTTGATTTTTAGCATTTTCATCGAAATTAATAGACCGAATATATTCATTAATTGCATTCTTATAATCATTTGATTTCTCAAATTTTCTTTTATCTGATTCCTTAACTAAATCATAAGTTAAACCTCGTTGCTGATATAATGGTTTCTTAATTAAATCTTTGAATGCTTGAGATAAAGCACCTGATGCAATTCTTGCTACTATAATTGGTTGGAATTGATGTTTAAGTTCATCTTTAACATTTGCGAAAACTGGATCGAATAAAGCAACTTTAAAGAGTTTCTTAGCTGAAATTTCAGGTCTAATATTTGCATATTGACCATCAAACTGGTTAGAATATCGTGGTAATCCATCCGGTCCCTCTTCAATAGCATTTAATTCTTCATTGAAATAAGAATATGGATTATGACGGTATGAATTAATTGGACCATTTTCACCTTCTCCAATGTATTGTTTAACAGCTTTTCCATTTTCATCAAATTGCATAGGATAACGTTCATTATATGCTTTACGTTTAGGATAATCAGACATAGTTAATTTATAACCATTTATGACTTTAATATTACCTTGACCATCAGTAACGAAAACTTCATTTATACCATCAGGTTTTCCATTTGGACCTGTAATGTCTGCTTCGTGTGCTTCCCAATTTGGACCATGACGTTTGGCATATGCTTGAGCTTCTGGTAATGTTAAAACGTTTCTCATTTGTTTAACATCTTTTTGAAGACCAGCAACAATATGAACTAATTCTTTCATTCCATCAGGAACTTTCATAGTTCTATTATATGCACCCCTTTTGTTTGTCCCTTGTTTTAATGGAACCTGTAGAAGATTTACCATTTCTGTCATGTTTAATTATAAATAAAAAATAAAAATTAATTATAAAAAGTTAATCAAATTTAACACTTCCTTTATTTAAATCAACTATTATTTTTCCATGTTCACCTAATTGCTGATATTGTGTGTAAAGTTCATTAATGCTCATTGGTAAATTCACTTGATAAAGCATAACGTTCAACTGTTGACGACTAAACCCACTGAAAATGAAAAGGGTTGATAGATTTGATTTAATGTTTGTGCTTAATGCTTTGAAGTATTGAACAGCCATGAAGAATGAACACTGAATGTGTCGACATTGAGTTAATAACTGATTAAAATATGATTTCTCATTTGTTATTAGTTTTGATTTCACTGCATCATCTAGAAAAATGAGTGAATGCAAAAATTCTCTATCAAAATTTGAAATAGAAAGTGTTTCAAATAATTCATCCCGTTGTTTATCAATAATTTTATCCTCTAATCCTTTTTTCTTGATTGTATTATATAATTCTTTATACATTAAAAAGTTTTTTAAATAATCTTCTGCTTCTTCTTGTGATAAATAAATAATTGGAATTTTGATTAAATGCTTTAAAGATTCAAATGTATCATCTGAAGGTGAACCTGAACGGTTGATATAAATTAACACGTGTGAATAGGGGGAAGTGTTAGCAATAATGATAATTTGTTTTAATATCGTTAATGTTTTACCTTTATTTTGTTTACCAATTGCTGCAGTGATTGAATTTAAGTAACATTCAGAATATGGAATTTTCATTAATTTTTCCTTAGATAGAGCATTTCTATTATCACTCAATGCTTCATTAATCATATCATCTACGTATGTATTATATACTCCTGCTAATTCTTCATAAGGGGTGGATGAATTTAAATCCATTTAATCAAAAATAAATTTATAATTTTAAACATTTCTATTCATCAATATTTCATCATATGAACTTCTATACTGTGGTGGTGTACCTGTTGGATAATATTTCAAACCTTCATCCGGTGTCCATGTCCAATATGTAGTCCTAGTAAACCAAACCTGAGGAGGATTTGTCACCTTTGAACAGTAAGTGTCATTTACACCCTGAATGATTGGATAAGCTTTCACTTGTACTGTAACTTGTGAGTTGAAAGTTTCTAATCCATCAAAGAATATACCCGCTCCATCACGTTGAACTGGAATAGTGCATAAGAATGAAGTTTGGTCTTTCCATGTTCTAGTTAATGGCGTGCCATTATCATCATTCAGTGGTCTAGTTAATGAGTCCTCGTATTCTTCTGTGCATTCATTCACTCCATCTAAATCAGAAGCTTGAAGCATACGTGTAAAGAATATGTCGCCCACTGTGGTCATCGCTTGATCGGGGAAGTTTCTGGAATCTATAGTGACCTGAAGACCTCGAAGCATTGGATTTTCTAAAACTGTTCTTTGCATTGCATTCTTCGGAAATGTTAACACAACATCTGTAACATTATGAAGAGCGTATGAGAAATCTGAGCTAATACCTTCAGGAGTGATGCAACCTCCATTTAGTGAACGAACGTCAATATGTTGAGCTGGAATCATGAATGGATCTTCCTTACTGAATAAACGTGGTATTGCTTTAACTGATTCTTCAATTAAACCGTATCCTGGTGTAATGCATTTATCCTCTAAAACTTCCATCTTTGTGCATGAAATAATAACGTTATCAACTTTTGCGTCAGCAGATGTAGCGGCTAAGCTTGTAATTAATTTGGCAGAAAGTCCGATTTGTTGGAATTTGCGATCATATTTATAAACATGATTCATAATCTTTTCATAATTTCCATCAGTTATCTTTTCATAAACGTAATTTTGTAAATCAGCAACTCTTAACGGGTCAACCTGACAAAATACTAAAGTATCCCTGAAAACATAATATTTAAGAATGATTTCACCAAATGATTTAGGATAATCATCGAACGCCTGAAATGCTAACAAATCATTTACCGGAATAATCATATCAAAAGTGACATCAACTTCTTCATTTGCGTTCTTGAAAACTTCTGAAGGGTCAATATATTTACCACATACTGAGTTATCATATTTTTGAACATTATTATATAACGAATGAACAAACTTTTTAACTTTCCTTTCTGATTTTGGTTTATATGTTGCAAATGCGAAAGATTCACGGGCGCAATCCATCTGAAGATAACCGGCATCACCTCTTTCAGTTTCTACTTCTAATTGTTTAAAGCTTTGATTTGATGATTTGTAACCAACGAATAAACGCATGCATTTAAAAGCGGCATCACATGTGAAAGCTTTATTTGAAACTAGAGTTGCTTTAACTTTGCGTTTAATATATGTGTCACCTAATTGGTTCACATCATGAGCTGGATTTGTAATTCTTAAATGAGTTTGTTTATCATCAAAATATGGAGCATCAGAGTCATAGCATGAACTTTCAAGTTCTCTATAATATCTTCTACCGTCATTCTTTGCGAATATTTCATTTATCTTTTCGAATGAATGAAACACATTTCCATTAATCGGTTTGGTGTTTGGCACCAAATAGTTAGTCGTCATTTATTAATAAATAAAAAATCAAAATTAAAAGATGAAAATGAATTTTTAATTTTGATGAAATAATCAACTATGGCTGCAGGTATATTTAAGAAACTGTGGGATAAAGTAAAAAGAGGAGCGCATAAAATTTGGGAAACAATGAAGAAAGGAGCAAATTGGATATTTAAGAATAAAGAAGCAATTAGTGACGTTGCTGAATCAATAACGCCAAAAGCTGCCCCAATAAGAGAAATATTAAATAAAGGAGAAAAAGTTTATCAAAGACTTCAACCGATACTAAGATAAAAATAATATTTATTTTTCCACTATCTACCCCCCTATTTTATTAAGTATTCCTTCAGCAATTCCACCAACTGCGTTACCCACTTGTGCTCCCATCGCCGGATTACCTGCTTTAGTACCTAATACTCCACCTATGATAGTTCCTGCCGTTTTCGCTACTGGTGCCAAAAAGTTTGCAACGGGTTTAATAATATTTTTATGAACCCAACCTGCAGCTTTCTTAATTCCATCCCACAGTTTCTTAAAGAATCCTGCCGCCATTTTTGATTTAATATTAATTAAAAAATATATTTCATCACTTATATTCTAATTTTTATTTAATGATAAATGAAACCGATTTTAAAAATAAATGAAACAGAGGAGGAAGAAATAAATGAAAGTGAAAATGTTCAACAAAAAATAAACGTTGTTAAACCAATTACTGAAATAAAAATTTTTTCATCTGTTGAAGAATTTAATGACTATTATGCTAATAATAAAAAATTATTTGAAGAATTGACAACGTGTAAATTGAATAAAATGTTTAAAGTTAATGGATTCAAAATTTCAAAAATAAAGGGGGTGGTTAGTTTGAAATCTATTCCTCAATCAAGAATCACCTCATTAATGAAAATAGATGATTTAACAAAAAGAATAGAAGAGATTGAAGAAAAAATGAATCAAATAATTGATTTCATAAATTCAAATAATCATTAGCTTCTTAAAGTTCTATGTTGATTCTGAGACATGAATGTTTAAAGTTTATTTTTTTATTTCATTATGGTAGTGAATCTTTTACTCGTTTATGAGGTCTTTGATTATGACTCCATTGATTCCATTCAGGATTTAAACAATGTTTAATTAATCGCGGAATATCTGACATCATCTATATATAGCTTCTTTTATAAAAGATAAAAAAATAAATTATTTTAAAATTAATGTGTTAATTTTTAATGTGTTTAGTATATAAATATTTATTACTAATTTATTTAATAATGTCGCGCTTTCTTACGAATTCATGACTTAAAAAACGTAAGAAAAAATTTTTATATCATTTATATATAGAAGATGTGAAAATATACCTTCGTCTATATATAGATGCAACAAAAAAAGTCACACAACCCTTCCTATCCTACTACTAAGGAAAATATTGATGCATATCCCATGAAAATATGATTTTGCGTTTAACGAGGATTGGGAGCCTAAGCTGATGCTAAAAAATACGAAAAACTCTGTGATAAAATACAAATTTTTTTCATCTTTTTTTTGCTCTTAGAATTGGAAGGCCTGTTCAGCTTGCTTTTAAACGCATGCTTTCGATGATAATATAAATTGATATAACACAAAAAAAAGTAAATATAATTATTAAATTTTCATAAATAAATAATACAAACAAGAATTTAATGTGCAGTAGCTCCTGAAGGAGGTGGTGCAGAAGATCTAACGCGATTTGAGGTTGGAGTAGCAACAGATGGCTTTATTGCACCAGCATTTAATTTATTAAGGGCAAAAGACTGAGCTGGTACAACTGTTGCTGTGGTCTCGCCAAATAGATCGATATCTTCAATCCATTTTTGTAATTTCGCGTTTTTATCAGAAATATATTGGTTATATAGTAATTTAATATTCTCTGCATATGACATATCGTCCTGACTAGTGAATTCAAACTTTTCTTCGAGTTTATTTTCATCCAAATTTAATTTGTCAAGCATATGCTTTCTAGTTTCCTCGTACTTTCGTCGCAGGTTTGATACTTTAGAACTGCATCGAAGAATGGCTCTATGTTCTTGTAATAGGGTCGCACCTAACGAATCCAGAGAATTATTGCCATCTAACGATAGGAGACTACTTTGCACGTTTGATATATTAGTGTCTAATTCTCTAAATTCATTTTTGAGCTTTTTGAAAAAGCGAAGAATAAATGGAGTGGGAGTTGATCTCGCATGAGTTGCATTTCCAAGATCTATAGATGAGTTATGCAATTCCTCTTGTAAAGACCTTTTAATTTTGAATCCGTTATCAACTTTATTAGCAAGAGAAGTCAAAGCGCCAAACAATGTTTGTTTTGTATCTTCTTTAATCTGTTCTAAAGAACTGTCAATGAATGCTGAATCATCTGGCAATTCATACGTTTCATAATTTAAAATGGAATTAAATATGCTTACTATTTTTCCAGCTGTTTCATTTTTAAGCTCTTCAATAAGCATTGTTTCATTTACTATTTCTTCTGGCTCTTCTGCTGGCTTTGCTCCCAATCGGAGGCTCATGAACAACATTCACCGCTAGAGATTTGTATGTTACCGATTGCATGTTGGAAACAGCAGTTGGAAACACCATGTCTTAAGGATCAATATATGTCACTTAATAAGTCTAGTTCTTTTGTCATATAAAATGAAGATAATTATCATAGGAGAATTCATAATATTCTTGGTATTTTTGTGTGTATTTTACGGGTACATAATAAACTTATATGTCACATAGAAAGACTGTGAATCGAGAAATGATCCCTAATTTTCAATCGGATGATTTTGTCACTTTTGATAAGATTTTATCCTTCGACTAATATATATGAGAAAAGATGATTTTAAATTCTTTGTATTCAATTATATAACAAAATTGAATGATATATCAATTCTTAGTTGAATATATTTGTCTCAGATACTATAGTACATTAAAATTTTCTAAAGAAAACCAATGAAATTGCCATTAATCATTTCAGATTTTAATTGAATTTTTTTACAATAATCTGTATCCCCACAAACCCGAAACATAGATAACAGTCTTAAAATACGTTGTATAATATAATTATGAAAGTTTGTCTATCTCTGATTTTTACAATAATCGTCACTCTATTCAATTACTTTTGGAAATGAGCTCACCAATAAATGCGGACTCTATCATGAAGCATATCATGGATGGAATCACTCCTACAGTTGAAGAGATCAATTGGATTAATATTAAAGCGAAAGCGATGTTCGAAAAGCTTCCTAACGTCGTTTCAGTTCAACCTCCAATCACAATCTGTGGCGATATCCATGGCCAATTCAAGGATTTGATGGAGCTCTTCAAGATTGGTGGAGATGTACCTATGACAAACTACTTGTTCCTCGGTGATTATGTAGATAGAGGTTCCCAATCAATTGAAACAGTTTCTTATCTTTTCTGCCTTAAGTTGAAGTATCCGAACAACATTACCCTTCTCCGTGGTAACCATGAAAGTGCAGGAATTTCTCAAATCTTTGGTTTCCGCGATGAAGTTGTTGCAAGATATAGAAATGATGATGTTTGGCAGACATATACAAATACATTCAACTTCCTTCCTCTCGCTGCTATTGTTGGAGAGAAAATATTATGCGTCCATGCTGGTCTTTCACCAAGAATCAAAACAATCGATGATATTCAGAAACTCGATCGTTTCAGGGAAATCCCACATGAAGGCCCAATGTGCGACTTAATGTGGAGTGATCCCACCCCAACGCCAGGCTTCCAACCATCTGCAAGAGAAGCTGGATACCAATTCGGCCCAGATATTACAGCTGGATGGAACAAGGAAAATGGACTTGAACTTACAGCTCGTGGCCATCAGTTAGTTATGTCTGGCCTTGAATACGGTCACAATAACCAAATTGTTACTATTTTCTCTGCTCCAGATTACTGCAGAAGATGCGGAAACTCTGCTGGTATTCTAGAATTAGATGAAAATATGAAACGTAAAGAAATCCGCTTCGAAACACCAAAAGAGGTTGATGAAGAAGCTGACCAAATTCCAAAGTACTTCAGTTTCGATCTCCCAGAAGATGAGTAACTAAATTCAATATTGTTCTGTTTCGAATTTAGTCAAACTTTAACAAATTTCCAAAAAATAAATCTACCCGTTTTAAAATATACGTTTTACTAGATTTTTATCAATATGGGTTAATAAAATATGATCTTGTTATCAGTTCCTTAAAATATAAGATGGAAAAATAAATTCTTTTAATATATGTTCAAAAAGAGTGTTGACATCTAGACATTTCCATTACTGGGCTAAATATGATTTCATTTATTTCCAAATATAGATCCAAGGTGATGTGATTTTTGCATCCCTGGGATGGACGATACACCCAAAGTGTCACCTTTTTTGGGATAACATGAATTTTAAATATCATGAGAGTTCTGCAAACCATATGCACAATATCTATTCAGCCTGACTTCTTGTATATATGAGTTAGACTTCTTAAATATTGTGCTTGGGGCGATATAAGTATTTCCGAGATTACCATCGTGCTCTATAGTATGCTACTTCTCCCTGGTTCTAGCTCAGTTCCAAGGATATTGGCGTTCAAGGATTTGGCAAGGTCCTTCCGAAGTCTCTCATTCGATGAGAGATTTCGGAAGAATCTTGCCTTAAAGTACTCCAACTCTTGTTCTTTTGTTCCTAAATAGTGAGAAAAGTTATTTGACTACTTAAGGTAGAGATTATCCGAGGTCCCTCATTTGATGAGAGGCCTCGGATAATCTCTGCTTTAAAATTGTACACTTGTAGTCCATGAGAGTGTAAGTATACATTGATAGGACAGTTTTCTTCTGAAGTCTTAGATTTGATGAGAACCTCAGAAGAAAACTGTCATATTTTATAGTAAAAGGAGTTTCAGGAGCTCCAAAGCTCCCTTTCGTAAGGATTAGGAGCTTTGGAGCTCCTGGTTCGTAGATGTGTTTCGCATCTTTCATCAGCAAAGGACATTTACCATCTGGGACTCTGTTGATGGAGACTCAGGAGCTCCAAAGCTCCCTTTAGTAAGGATTAGAAGCTTTGAAGCTCCTGGTTCGTAGACGTGTTTCGCATCTTTCATCAGAAGAGGCCCAAATGGTAAATAGCCTCTGCTGATGAGCTTCAGGAGCTCCAAGACTCCCTCTCGTAACGATTAGGAGCTTTGTAGCTCCTGAAGGTAAGGTAGGATTGCTCTGATCTCTAATCAGTAGATGCCATGCCTCATTATGAACTCTACTGACAAGAGATCAAGAGCTCCAAGGACTCCTTTTTTAGTTAGTGGCGTTCTCACCATTTAGTAGGATTGCTGATCCTACTAATGAAGTGATCACTTAGTATACGTTTTGAATAAATTGAATTTTTTTTAGAATTTAGTATTTTTTATAGACATCACATGTATATTATAAATACATAAATATATTCTTTAATTCAAAAAATTCAATTCGGTTTTGGGATGGGCATCCCAGCCCCAAGTATTCAATTTTATTCAATTTTTAAAGAATTTTGGGTTGGGATGCCCAGACCAAAACAAGCTTTATATTTTGATGTGTAGATACGTATGTGTGCATCATTGTTGTGTTATATATTATGTTTTTAATGAAAAAAAATCTGATTCAAAAAAAATTATCACTAATTAGTTGATAATATAAAGAAAAAATAGATAAATTGTATGTTTTGAGAGTATTTATCCACATTCACTCATATGAATTTCATTAAATAGTGTCTTTTTACTCCCAAATTTATTTTGAATTATTGAAATCAAAGAAAAAAAATCAGAAAAATTTCTCGAAATTTTTATTTTCAAAAAAAATTTGGATTTTATATTGAAAACTGACACTGGGAGGACGATAGGGCTGGGATTGGAGATACCCCGCTCACTTGGGAAAAATACGGATCTATATTTCCAAATTTTTTTCAAAAATTAGAAAATGAAAATAATTTTCTTGAAAATTTACCTTATTTTTTATATTTCGGAAAAATTTTGGAATTTTTGAAGAATTTAATTCTATGAAAATATGCAATTTTATGTAAAAGACATATTTTTGCTTAGATTTTTAATATTTGTCATTTTTCATTTATATTTTCTTTTGAATATAATAAATATAAATATTTCATGAGCAAAAACCACATAACTTTCCGAATATACCCATAATCATAGGGTTTCAGGTAATATATCGATGAAATTTTAATCAGAAAATCTTCTTCGGTATTGTTTCCACAAATACAGCATCTTCCAGACACACCTATACATGAAATAATTGGCTACGAAAAACCCCTAAGGAAAACTATCATTCAGTTAAATTTGTTTGTGAGACAAATAATTCAGATTGAGAATTCTTCTATTCTCCAATAAACGCAACTCTGTAGCTACTCAGATATCGGACAATCTGTAAGAGGAGAGATATTTAATTTTGATTTCTTTAGAAAACAAAGAATCACTTAATCCACTGAGGCAAGGTGAATAAAACTAGATTTTTAGAAAGTTTAGAACTCTAAAACTACTCTAAACTCTTTAATTAAAGAAAAATAATTTTCAAATATTTCAAAATTTGCATTATATTGCATTATGCAGTTCATCTATTCAATACAGATGATATACTCATATAGTCCAATTTGGTTTCCCATTGAGCTGGATTCATCAAGAATGTAAAATTATGACGATTATTTATTCGTTAATGCGCGCGCGAACTTCATACGGTAGCCGGCAATTAAGAGCTTTGCCTGGCCTTAATACAACGAAAAGTCGTACTATTCAAGGTAGTGCGCAAGAAGAACCAATTAAACCTGTAAATCTTCATGAAATTCGCTTACAAATATTAACAATGCAAGAACAAACTAAAAAATATCGTTCAATAATCGCAAGGACATCACACAAGATCGATTCAAATACATCAATGATAAACAAAACCTTCGAACAAGCTGCAGAAGGCCCTGCAGGAAATTCAAATCATAAAAGCACTATAGAAATGCTTAAACGCAGCGTTGAAGGATCTAAAACACATTTGGAAGATCTTCAGCAACAAATTGAAAAGGCAAAAACAGATGATCGTTATTGGACTGCAAAAGAATTAGAGCAAGAAGTTGCAGTTGCTTTTATTGAAATGAAGCGCGTTCAAGAAGATTTTGCAGATAAAAAAGGCCGACAAAATCATTACGAAACTATATTTAAAGACGCAAATGCAATTCAATCTCAAGAACACATTTCACAATTACGCCAAGCAATCAGAGAAACCAAAGAATCCAATGACTCTTTCAGAGATAAACTAAACGCATATCAGAAAAAGAAAGCAAAAGTACAAATTGAGTATACGTTACTTGAGAATAAAGACAAGAATGTACAGTCTCGCCAAATAATAGAAGAAGCTGAAATAGAGCAAGCAGAAAATAATCAAAAATTACAACAAAATTACCAACAAATTCAGGATATGCAGAATGACTACTTAGAGAAAGTCAATAAGTTAGAAGAAATAATCAATAATCAAATCTTATGTATTCAGCAATATATGAAAGAACATGAAGAAGAATTGAATCAGAATATTATCGAGGAGTAAGAATCGTTCTTGTAATGATATAGCTCAACCAATGTTTTTATAAAATTTTTATTTATCATCTATGTGCTAATTTGATATTTTTAATTTTTTATAATTTTTTTTTTTGACCAAAGGTTGTGATAAGAAATTTGAGCATACATCTCTTGGGTAATACAATACTCAATCACATTCTATCGAATGTCTCAGATCTGAATTTTTCTGATCAGAAAGCTCAGTGTTGGAGTTTGTTGTCACACAAATTATAAAGATCACAAGAATTCATTACCAAATATCTGTTTTTCTCTCTCTGAAAAAACGACTGCTTCAAAGCCAAAATTTTTCAGTTCAAAGTTTTCGTTTCAAAAACAAAACCATCATTAAATCCCATTTATAAAAATCTAATAAAAAATTTTACAAACGGATATCGAGTGGAAGTAGGTTATTAACTATCAATCCGCCTTTTTATCAAAATTGAAAGCAAATTGAATTGGTCACGGGCAATATAATAGACATGATTGAGAGACCAATAGAAAAAACGAGTTTGAGACAATTTTCATCCTTAGTATATGTCATTTCAATATTTATATTTATTGATTAATATGGGAGATTTTTGACAATAATTTTTTTCCATCAAAAACTTCGCATACCCATTGAATTCGATTTTAAAAAATCATTCAATTTTAACATCGCATGCCGGGCGCCTCTTTTACATCCGTTTTCACATCAATAGTTACCTTTTGGCAAAACATCTCCATTTCTCTTAGATTCCCCAATTTAAATGTTCCGAATTGGTTATCTGCATTTGCGGAAAAATTTATGTTGTTCTTCAAGTATCTTTGGCAACTTATTCCTAAAGTGCCCACCTTCGATATCAGGACCTCACTCGTTTTAATGTCAATTGGTATTCCATTTTTGCTCGATATTTTAACAGTTTTCTTTGCCCTTCCAATTTTCAAGGCTATCTTTCATATTTTAGATCTTGGCGCAGCATTTGGTATCTCTTACCTAGCTACATTAATGCTTATCCCACCAAAAGTTAATACATTTTATATTTTAGGTATAGTATTACTTTCTGCCTATCTTATAGGTCGCGTTCTCTTCCATTTCTTCAGGAAGAAAGAAGACTTCACTGTCAAAGATGCCACAAGAGAGCTTTCGAACTTTTATTTCGATGGAATTATTCCAAATTTCACAGAGAACCTTACATTATCAGAAATTAACCAGAAGCTTAGTAGCATCATGAGTACCGTACAGATTGTCCCTAAAGTTGCTGCCCCATCCACAATTTTCATGTTATATTGCATTTTCCTGCTCCTGATCGTGGTTTCTCTAATTCTTCTTGATGTCATTAAGCTGGATATCACCATTCCTCCAGCTGTCAGACTCTTCTTACCATACATTTTACTTCCATTTGCAGTAATTACCTTTGTCCTTATGTTCCTTAAAGCTACAGAGGCTGGTGCCAAGTTCCTTTTATCAGTTAAGAAGTTTATCAAGCGCTGGGGTCTCAGATTACTTCTTCTTGCTTTCGAACTTCTTTATATTCCAATCATGACTGGATTAATGTACAATTTCGTTCCAGTATCCGTCAAATGCCCCCAGGAAGGATTTATTCCCATCAGAATCCCATCCAACAGCACATTCTACCAGTTCGAAACTCATTATATGACATGTGTCAACCAATCCACACTAGAGAACATGTCTTCCTTCAGCCTTGCCATTACAACCAAGCTCAGCAAGCTCAGAATGCGTAAAGAGCTCTCATTATCTTTCGTCCAAGATATCTTGAAAGTTAATGGCGGAATCATGCTCTTTACCATTGCCTTCATCATGATTGGTATCCCAGCATTCTGGGTCGCAACAGTTAATGTCAACCGTGACTTTGTATTTGGTATCAACGTATTTGGTCGCACTCCAGAAGAAAAGTGGGCAGTTCTTACTACGAAACTTGAGACAACAGGTATTTTCCTTTTCCAGAAGTACACAGTTTATGCCGCCAAATGGTCTGTGTGGTTAATTTTAGCCAAATTCATCATTATGATTCTTTCTGCGATTGGCAACAGCTACTACACGAAACTTGTTGTTTTACTTCCCATTTTCTATCTCTGCATGGCCGTTGCAACATATCTTAAGTGGCCATATTTGTGCAAACTCAACAACTGGTTAGATTTTGTTCTTTATATTTTCAACCTCATTTTCGCTCTCTTCCCTGTTCTTTCCGGTTTCAATGTCATTGTTCCTGAGAAGATTGTCACCATTGTTTCTCTTGCTGTTCTTTCCATTCCAGCCGTATCATGCGTTTTGTTCCTTTTCTGTGTCAACAAGGACAACATGGATGATCCAACACTTATTACAAAAGAAGTCAAAGAAGAAATAGACAGAATCGAAGAAGAAAGACTTGAAAAACTCAAACAAGAAGCGGAAGAAGCAGAAAGAGCTAAGAATGGAAGAAGATCATCAGCAGCTAAAGAAAAGAAGCCAAAATCAAAGATATTACAAGGAAGTTCTTCTAAAGGTGATGATGATGAAGAAGAAGATTTCGAAGAAGATTATGATGATGATAATTACGATGATGATGATTATAGTTCTGGTGATTATAGTACTCATTACGAAAAATCATTCGAAAGAGATAATGAACAAGCTTTCAAGGCACAGTTCGAAACAGTCAGATATGATGAAGAATTCAAACGCCAGATGACTGAATTAGAAACAGTTGAAATTGGCGAGGGATGGTTGAATTCTATCTATGACATGAAGAATAATCAGTTGGAGAAAGGATTCAAAGTTAAGAAAGTTATTTTGGCAATGAGATTTAGAAAATACTACGAAATGCTCGATTTAATCATCGACGCACAGACAATTGCAAAGTTGGTTTTTTTCTTGAATTTGTCTTCTGTTTTCGCTTGTTTCGCAATGGGTTGGTTCATCAGAGCTTTACTTTCTACAATGATTGATCACGAAATCCAGACAAATGTTCAAATCCCTGCTGATACTTGCAAGTGGTTGGAATACTTCGCAAACATGACTGGTTTGGATTCAACTAATTGCGTAATGTAATTTTATTTATTTATAATATTTGTTTTGTATTCTTTGTTGTGTGTATTTTATTTTTTGATACAAAAATATTTCGTTACTTTTACTTTTAATAAACTGAAAATTTTTTAAAAATTTATAAAAAAATCTTTGATATACCACTTTCCCTTAGTACCAAAAAAGTATAATATCCATAGTAGTAAAAGTATTTTATAAACATTCTTTCTAATAATTTAAGGGTGCACAATGAGGATTACGGTTTTTTAATCCTCCTTTTTTTCGAAAAAAAATCCTTGTACTTTGGGTACTTCGAAACTCGAAAAAAAGCGAAAAAGTGAACATTGGTCCAAACACATTCCTTCATTAAGTACTTGATTCCCTTTCACTCAAAGCTTCTGAATTCAAAATTTATACCAAATTAAAAATATTATTTCGAATTTACAACAGTTTAAAATCAAACAGCTCGTTTGTTTCACATACACTACGTTCAATTATTGTAAATCTCAAAACTCACACTATGATTTTCGTTTTATTATATGCGAAATTTCAAAAAATTCTCTCCTACCTATTTTGCAATATGATTTGTATTTAAATATTACTAGATCATTGTGTTACTAAACAAATAACCTTTAATTACTTTTATAAAATAATTTTTTTTATTGATTTGAAGAATGAAGATTTACCTTAGTCAATTTGTATGCAAATTTACAATTTGATGATTTTATAAGTTTTAGGTGTTTTTGGCAGAAATTAGAATTATTATTTCATTTCCATCGGTTTTTACCCAAAATTATATGGAATATCGAATATATGCATTTTGTATAATTTATGATATGTTTTTGAAGACTAAATCTCCACTTTTTAAAATTTTTTATCCTCCGAGTGCAGGTCATGAAATTTTTGGGCCTTTTTTTAGGTCCTTGAAAAACGAGTTTTTTTGAAAATAAATTGCATAAATAGCATCACCTTATATGTACCAATGATGTGGTAAAAAGAAAAATCATGGCTCTCGATCAAAATAATGAGAAAAATAAACATGCTAAAATTTTTTCGAAAATCAAGTTTTTTCGATTGTTTTTCTAATTTCATCAAAGAGTTGATATTAGACCACCAAAGTTATATATGATATAAAGATACCTTATGTGATTCTAAATGATGCATATTAATCGAAAAAATTTATTCCTGTAAAGAAAAAAATAAGTTTTTATTAATTTGGAGGATTAGCAAATTGATATAACTCTCAGAAAAATTTGAGGACTTTTTAATCCTCGTAGTGCACCCTGAATGAAAAATATAAACACAAAATACATAAACTACGTGATACGTAAAATTCGTCGAAAATAATATAAAGAGACAATTTGTTGAATTTTTCATATAGGAGTACTTACACTCTCATAAGGCTTGACCTTCAATCCCTGCGTTTAAGATATATTTTCGATGATACTTCAAACCATTTATTTGAATTAATATAATATTGGTGTAAATACAACGCAAAAACTCCACTATTATTATCTTAAGAACATAAAGAAATCTAAATGATAATATAAATTGGTTAAGCCATATACGCCATGATAACTAATAAATGCGTATCATTTTTACGCAAAGAATCACGTGATTCTGTTTCCAAAGGCTTATAATTGTTTGAAATAAGAGGAATTGAAGCAACACAATTAGCTGTTGACAAATGCGATAGTTTATTGATAAATAAAGTTGTTGTTTCCTGAACAACTGGCATATTATTTGTATATGTCAATTTATCATAATAACTATAATGAAGAATCACTTGATCAGAAACTTTGAAGAGACGTCCAATACCATTTGGATTATTGTACATCATACAACAATTTGAAATTGTTAATACATCTGAAATTTTCATAACAGGTTTTATGGTTCATATAAGCATACTGATCATCAATGATGGCTGATAATGTACCACAATATTAAATATCTTTTAATATCCTACAAAAAATATCTTGAAAATTTCATATATCGCACTTTGTATATGAAATCAATTTTAATTAATACCATAATAATAAAAAATACTTTAGTTATTCTTCTTCTCTCCGATCTCATCAAGAGAATTTGCAGCATGGAAGAATTGGATAACATTAACGATGTGCTTAAGCATGAATAATGGGAGAAGCACGTATTTAAGGAGTTTTAATGGAAGTAAATAATAAGGTGGAAGTAGATAGTCGAAGCTGAGCATGTACATTGTGCATGGCCATCCTTCAGCACCGAAAATAAGGAGAACCATGAACCATTTGGTTGCATAATAGTAACGAAGGAGCCATGGACCATCTTTGACAATCTTGTGTGACTGATTTCCAGCTTTTAATGTGGCGAGCATATGAGCCCAGTGGGAGAAAATATCTAGCCAGATAAAGAAATGGCATCCAAGTGTATATTGTGGATATCTATGGGAGAGTACAAGTAATAAACCGACAGTAGAGCATCTATCTGTAACCATATCTAGGAGAGCACCGAATTTTGTTGATTGATTGAATGCACGAGCTGCCATTCCATCAAACATATCTAAAAATTGGGATGAAAAGTAGCTAAGGAAGAAAATGTATGGATTTGTCTGAGCGAAGAGGTATGCTACAAACATAAGGATGATACGAGCATATCCAATAAGATTTGGTATGTAGAAATACAAAGATACCATTTTTTGAATAAATCGATAAATTGAATGAAAAAATCGCAATTTCCGCTCATGTATTCAATTTTATTGACCGAAGAAATAAATTTCATAATATTATACAACAATTAATTATATACATTTTATTGATTTTCTGACCTCTGAATTTTTTTTGGTATTTCAGAATTAAAAAATCCAAATCCAAAGCTGCTATCTTAATCGAGAATTCATCAATGTCTTTCAACCAATCGTATCAATAATAGCATTTTTAGATAGAACTCAGTCCAGTTCAGTAGGTTATGCCTTCGACGGCGTTCATAAAAGGGATAATTAAAAAAAAACTTTATTAAGCCTTTATTCCTATCTGAATAATCTATGCAATCTGATCAAACAAAATCTTATCTTGATTATCCATTTCAATTCAATAAAATTTTATTCGAAGTGAAAATTTGACTAATTTCTTTTCCACTCTAGCTTTTTTAGCCACAGATCAGTAATGTTATATTAAATATTCCTAATGGTTGAAATAGAAATCTGATTTAAATACCTAAAGAAAAATAACGTAATGAAGCCATCAGAGAATTGGAGAAATGCGAAAATTATTATACATACGTTGTTGTTTAAGATTCACTATCTTACAGGTGTTCATTTGAGAATTTCTTTTAAACATGTCTAAAATGAAATTAATAGGGATTTAAACACTCTAATTGTAAGAAATAGATAAAATGAAGATCAACATAAGATAAATATTTGAACAATAAGCAGAACGAAAAACAAGATATTGAGGGTTATCATAAAATTCATTTGTATGCTTAATATCGTTTAATGGGATTTTTTTTAGCTTGAAACCTCGGATTTTGATTTTACCCTATTTTGCTTATGATTATTTTACGATTGTGCTTATGAAAATTATTGTTTCAATTGAGACATAAAATGCTTGAAGTGTCGATACCTAAATCACATTTAATGTATATATATTTCTGAAAATTGAACTGTTACAAAACACCGTTGAATGACAGCTTTGTCAGTCAATTCTATCAAGGCAAAGTGGTAGGTTCAATCGCTTTATGAATAAAATCAGAGGAAAAAGCATAGTAATTTTTTTATTTCTAATGAAATATATCTACGAAAATACTAGAAAAAGAAAGAATAGTATCATTTGTAAGAACATCATTCTTTCGCACCATGTAAAATAAGAACATTGATCATATTTTGACTATTTTTCCTTACTGCAATATGAAGTGCGATTTCTCCATCTTTATTTTTATCATTGATATTCGCACCATGCAAAATAAGAATTTCTGCTGTTTCTGTACTGTTTTCATGTGCTGCAATATGAAGTGCGGTTTCTCCATCTTTATCTTTTTCATTGATATTAGCACTATGTGAAATAAGAAGCGCGGCAATTTCTTCATTATTATTATATGCTGCAATATGAAGTGCGGTTACTCCATTTTTATTTTTTTCATTGATATTCGCATCATGTAAAATAAGAAGCTTAACTATTTTTTTATTTTGTCTCAATGCTGCAATATGAAGTACGGTTTCTCCCTCTTTATTTTTTTCATATATATTCGCGCCATGCATAATAAGAACTTCGGCTGCTTCTGTACTGTTATTTCGTGCTGCAAGATGAAGTGCGGTATTCCCACCTTTATCTTTTTCATTGATATTCGCGCCATGCATAATAAGAACTTCGGCAGTTTCTGTACTGTTATTTCGTGCTGCAAAATGAAGTGCGGTTTCTCCATCTTTATCTTTTTCATTGATATTCGCGCCATGCATAATAAGAATTTCTGCTGTTTCTGTACTGTTATTTTGTGCTGCCAAATGAAGTGCGGTTTCTCCATCTTTATTTTTATCATTGATATTCGCACCACGCAAAATAAGAATTTCTGCTGTTTCTGTACTGTTATTTTGTGCTGCAAGATGAAGTGCGGTATTTCCCCATACATCTTTTTCATTGATATTTGCTCCAAGTGAAACGAAATATTCGCAAAGGGATGGAATGAAAAATCCTAATGAATCCATAAAGCATTTGTTAACATCATTAGTTTGATCGAAATAAACTAAAAATGATTCAAGATTATTATAATCTATGCAATCATATAAATGGGTTTTTAAATTGTACTCATTCGTCAAGAATGTAACAAAATCAATGTTGTGAGAAATAATTGCATACCTCATGCATTCTCTATCTGGTGTTTGATATTTCAAACATTCACTCATGATTTCTGGATTTCCGCCTAAAAATGAAAATTTAAGACAATCATAAGTTATTTTTGAGTGAAATTTTGTTATTAAGAACTTGAAACAATCAACTGCTCCATGATAACTACATAATTCAAGTAGTGAAAATCCGCGATATGAATATGGATATAAATCGCTTTCAATTTTTTGATTGTTATCAAATCCTTCTCTTTCCGTGAATGAGATGAATTTTTCTATATCGTTATTCATAATTGCCCTGTAAATTGTATTTTCTGTAAGAATATACAGATTTTTATAAGAATTTCTTTCAAAGTCATCAGATTTGTCTAATTTAATTCCATATTCTTTATAAAACAGGATTTTTGAAAATGTATTAAAATAGTCAATCTCTTCCACATGATAATCATCAATGATGAGTTTGGTAAGAATAAAATACGACTTGATATAGCGATAATTATACTGAATGATATGAGAAATGATTCTAATAATATTTTCTGGTTGATCTCTCTTTGAATCAATCAATTCTATTTTAATCATTTGGTAAATCTCTTTTAATTCTTCTTCTTTTTCCGTTTTCAGCTGATACAAAACATTATATGGATCGATATAATATTTATAGGTGCTTCGCAATTCGTTGTAATTGTTTGGATGAATGCTTTGATTGGACATTGATAATTTTTTTAAGGGTGGCGGAAAGTGAAGTGAATGACCAAAAATAAAATGCTATTATCTCGTCATATTTTTGATATCTTTTGGGAAAAATTATATGGATACAAAAATCATTTGTAGTAGTATATGTATGCCATAATTTCATTATCATATATGAAAGCTTTTGGTTTTCCCTCCTATGATAAATATGTGAATTATGCGTCTGATAGGGGTAAAAAACTTTAAATATCTCATGATTGGAACTTTAAACACAAAATTTACTCAATAGAAAATATAGATAACAATAGCTTATATATATTTAAATATAAAGAAAGACTCCTTATCTTATATTGAAAGACTAGATACAAATCTAATTAAACTCTGAATGGGAGCAAATTGTAACGAAAAGTATCGGAAGTAATTGGTATTTATATGTTATTTATTCTCATACATTGATTTTATGCAAATTTGATAAGTAGTTCCAGATCTCATCACTTATTGCATCTTGGACGAATTTAATAGATACGTGTTTTGCTCAATAGAAAAGATAGATTTATGTACCTATATTGCATACCTTAAGTATTTTTGATATTAATTCAATAACCAGAGACTAGATACAGTTGAAAATTCATTTTTTTCAATCATTATTTCTCTACCAGATAATGACCTCAGACTATACAAACTTTGTAGTAAAGACTTGTTTATATATACTATTTAGTATTGCTACAATAACATAAGAATTTCAAATATTTATTTAGTTATTTTCACTTTTTGTTATTCGGTCACATCACTTTCCGCCACCCTTAAAGACAGATCTGAGGTATACTATATAAAATACCCAATAAATTCATTAGAAGTAAAATAGGCTATGCTAAACATGTGGAAAAGTATGATCACAAAGATTTCGGATATAATTTATTAATTTCGATTAAGTTTATGAATATAAATTTAAGCAATAACAATAGAAAGGTCTGAAGCAATAGAATTTTCATCCAGATGCTTATATTTTACAAGATGTCTAGAATTTCGAAATTTTTATTAGATTTTCGGATGCTTTATACATATCTAAGTTTATTATTATAAGAAGACGTCAACAAACTATGCCTTCATCCTAATAAAACAATTACGATATTTCCCCTTCTCAATTTCTGAAAAATTATCAGAAATTACAGTTTTCGATTTCTAGAGATTGACCATGGCTTGTGAATCAATCAAGCAGTATGATGACTTCATAGAAACATATGAAAAGCTATATCACTTGAAATCTACCGATAGTTTCGAGGAGATTATGAACAATGTTACAAATATTTTGATTAACAAATACAAAGTATCAATAGAACAATGCATTCGAAGAATTTTACAAGCAAATAAATATAATTATCGAGCACAGCCGCTTTATGGCAAATTACTCAATCAAATCTTCACAACTTATTCCGTTAAAACTTCATCCTTAAACAAAATATTGCCTGCAGACAATATTCAAGATGTTTTGAAAAACTTGAATTTAAAGATTACCACCAAAGGCGATAAAATATGTCAAGTTAAAAACATATCAGAGAAAAAGGATGAAGTTGAGAATATGATCATGAATGATGATATCGAGAAGTTCAAAAACTATGTTTTAAGCAATTCTGTAGATAAGATCACAATGAATGTTCCAATATTTGAAGGGGTTGACAAAAGTGATCTTATTGAAGTTTGTGCTTATTACGGAGCAGTGAACATTTTCAATTTCCTTCATTCCGACATGAATCAAAAGATAACACCGATGTGTTACCGTTTGTCAGTTGTCGGAGCAAATATTGATATTATAAATCAATGCAACAATGAAACAGAATTCAATCTTTCATGCATTGGTATGGCTATTTCATCACATAACAATAAATTCATTGAATTTGCTTTAAGTAATAATTCATTGAATTTGCTTTAAGTAATAATTCATTGAATTTGCTTTAAGTAATAATTTAACAGAAATCAGTGAATTTAGTTATGATTCAATCATCACATCTCAAAACTTGAAAGCTTTATTGATTATGTATCAGAAAGATAAAAATTCAATAATTCCATGAGGTGCAGCATTCCCACAAACTCTTGAAATCCTCAAAACTGATAAGTTTGATTTCAATAAAGTTGATTTCTTAGGTAAAACATTACTTCACTATGCAGCTAGTTATGATAATGCTGATATTTGCGAATTTATATATATATTCAACAATGAAGAAACAAAATCGCTTATTGAAAAAAGAGATAATAGAGAGATAACAGCACTTCATTATGCCGCAGAAAATAATTGTCAAGCAACAACAGAGTTTCTTATTTCGCACGGATTTGACGTCAATGATGTTGATTGGGAAACAATGTCTCCTCTTCATTACGCTGCAAAAAATAATTGCAAAGAAACTGCGGAAATTCTTTTATCCAAAGGTGCTGAAGTTAATTCAATAGATCGGGCCGGAAAAACGCCTCTTCATTATGCTGCGATGAAGAATTGTAAAGATATTGCCGAAATTCTTGTATCACATGGAGCAAATCTCAACGCTAAAGATGATGATGGCTTAACACCTCTTGATACAGCTAAAGAAAACAATAGCAAAGAAATATCACGATACTTATCCTCACTGCAAAAGAATACAGATAAGAAAAAGGCGAAGAAATGAGGATCTTTTTTTCTAAAGGTTGATGAATTATAAAATTTATTTTTTTTTGTTACTGAAAATAAATTTTATTGTTTATTATTTGAAATGAGCCAACGACAACTGTATTTTTACTCATTGATTTCAATCAGTGAAAAATATAAAATTTCAAGTATTTTTTTTTGGCAATAAGTATATAATAAAGCATTTTTATATATTCATCATCTTATTATCAAGGTTATGATATGAGAAGAAATGAACTTACACTCATTTATCGTTGGTATGTCAATGATTATATGTTAAACGGAATGAGCTAACGAAAGATTACTCAAATTGAACCTGTATGGTTAGAAACTACTCTTAAATGAGACTAACATATCTTATGTTTTAACAAATGAATCAAATCTTACTTTTTTTATGTAGATTTCCCTTCAATATACTTCATTCAATGATTGTATTTTATGTCCTCTGTCAATCCTGTTAATTTTGTTTCCTAAATCATGATTTGAAAAATTTCTGTCTTCAGATGATTTTTACAAAAAGATTTTAGGAATTGAATAGTTTACAAAGAGTTCCAAAATCCAAGAATGGCTAGTGCCCTTGATCGCGCGCTTAACAACTTCCGTGCACAGCCAAGAGATATGTCCGGCCAGAAGAAGGCTAAAGTATCATTAATTTTCGAACCAACTGTTGCCGCATCTACATCTGCAGGTACATTTTACCAAGTAGGCTATGCTGGTTATACTGAACTTCTTCAAATCGATCACAGAATCAAGAAATTCGAAAAATCCATTTTTAATCCATCAATTACAGATGTCGATCCATTATTCTTGACAGCCGAAGAATACAACCCACTCCGTGAGAAAGTTAGAGAGCTTATGTTCTTCCTGTCAAACTATTGCATGGAGGTTTCAGCAGTTAAAGTTCTTGAATATTTAATTCAACAATTTGCTGTTAATAGATTAAATCCAGAAATCTTACTCTTCATTACACTTCCTTACCTCGAAACTCCTCTCTTTGTTCGCGTTATTCAAACAATTCCATTCAAGGCCATGCCAAAAGCCTTTGACTTCCTTGATGACTTCAGACACATATCGCAGACAAAGAAACCAATCGACCGCAAGTTACTTATCTCATGGATTATCAAGAAACCCAACATTTTACCTTGGATTATCTCAAATGTTCCAAGAGTCTGCGCTTACCACCCTGATGGCGTTTATGCTTCCTTTGTTGGTGTCCTCTTCTCCCAGTTAATTATGGAGAATATCGATGAGGCAATGGGAACAAACATTATCAACGCTGCAATGGCCGCTTTAGACGATCCAAATGGTTATTTAGCACCACAATACTTGATGGCCGTTCTCACATTGAACGAAAAGAAAGAACTCGGTATTCTTCCAAAGATTACAAAAAAGATTTCATCAAATGCGGAAACCGTCTTTGCCAATCACTTTTCTGAGATGTTCTCCTTAACAGTTGCTTTATTCCAGAAGTCTGTTCCAATCCATGTCAAAGAAGGCTTTGTTCATGCGATTGCATCCCAAATTTCATCTGTCAAAGACTTAATTCGCAACACAGACACCACAGTCATTGCCAAGTCATGCTCAAACCTCATCGTCAAGAAGTCCAAGAACGAATCTTTGGTTAAATCTGCTATCGCCATTCTCGAAACCAATTTCTTCGAAACAGTGGCCAAAGAGTTCCTTCTCGGCTTCGTCCAGAACTATCCTGGTGGTGAATACGCTGAAATGCTCGTCCAAAAGCTCGCAAACGATTATCCAGAAATTTTGACAGAAGATGTCAATTCTGCATTGAAATCTGCCAACATTTCTGTCAGATTATCAGCTCACACCCGTCAGAGCATCATTGATTCATTAAGTGAATCATCCAAAGCAGCTGCTGTCTTTGCGGATCCAGATCTCCAATTCGATCTTGCATCAAATCAAGCGGTCAGTTGTTTGACATCAGCAGAATCAGCCGATTCCGTTGAAGTTGTTGAGCCATTGATTAAGTATTTCAAGGGAAGATGTCCTGAACATGTTTTACAATGGATTTGTGAGCATTTGTTCATTTCCGGATCAAAGTTTTCTGATTGTTTGATCAAAAACATTTCTGTTTATGGCAAAGAATTGGCAGATTTCCTTGAAGGATTTCCAACAGACTCTAACAAGTCAATATTATCTTTCTTGTCCGCAAAATCAAAGGAACTGCCTAATTTCAAGTCACTTCCTATAGCTGCTGCAAAAGCTTTGAATGAAAAATCATCTGAAAAAGTGACAGATTTAATCAAATTCCTTCCACAGAGGAAACTCGATTATTCCGTTGTCAGGAGCTTAGAAACCAAGATATTCCAAGAAGATTTAGAGTTCGTTGCTGATAGCATGGAATCTCAAGCTGCTTTTATTTTGGCAGTTACTCATAAAATTGCTGAAGAAAGTGAACTGACCACTGATAATTTATTAGCTTTGTTTTCATTCCCAGATTTCAGGTGTCTTCTTCCAACTGTTGTTTTACTTGCAACAAAGAAACAACTCAACAAAATGACATCTGTATTCCACATTTCGAACCAACAAGAAAACAACGCAAAAATCAATTGTTTGACATTAATTGCTGTTGTTTTGCCAATGTCAAATCCATATGACATCATTCCAACATTGTTTTGCGCTTTGAAATCTCCTGTTTACAAGGACAGAGCAATGGAATTGATCAGAGGAATTTCTTTGAAAGAAGAAGGTATCAAAGATGTTCTTCCTTACGTAATCAAACATCATCAATTGTTTGGTAACGATGAACAAACAACAATTGGTGTTTTCACGAAGAGTTGTGCAAAACCAGAGACAAGAACATTCTATAATCATTGCTGGGAACATATCCAAGATTGTTCAATCGCTTTGGATTTCTTCTTATTAACAAATGACAAAGAATGTTTCTCTGCAATCAAAAGATTAGAAAAAGAACCAAAGATTGTCGATTTATTTGACAATTACATCCAGAAATATCCTGATAACGAAGAAGCCAAGGATTGGGCATTGAACACTTTGAATTCTGGAGTTATCAAATCAGTAATTCCTTATTTGAATGAAACAAAGCTTTCCAAGAGTCTCCCATTCGTTTGCTCTTATCCACAGTACTACGCAACATCTTTCAACTTGTTCTTTAAGAACCACAATATCCCGTACAAAGACATCGAAAAGGAAATCACAAAAGGTCAAACTTCCGCCATCAAAGAATCAAAAACCGAAATTCCGCCTCAAATTTTTGCCAACAAAAATTTCAATGGTTTACTAAAATCGTTACAGGCGCGAATTGTTGTCAGTCCATGCCAGATTTTATTAGAGAACATTTCAAACAAACAGGAAGTTGACGGAATTGTTGAATTAGTTCCATCAATTATTAGTTTATTCGACATGAAAGAGAATTCCAATTTAATTCCATATATTTTCAATTGTCTTTTGATGGCAATTAAAAAAGAGAACGAAACAACAGAGAAAAAGAAGAAATCATGCACAGACATAATGATCGAGAACTTCTCCAAGATCATTTCATCCATTTCTTCTACAACTGTTCCTCATATTCATTCAACAGCTTTACAAGTTGTTGAAGAACTCGCAAGAGTTAAACCAGAAGAAGTTGCAAAACACGCCAAAACATTCTTCTCAGCAATGCCAACAGAAACACTGTTTTCAGATGATGTTGCAAACTTGGCAAGAATCAATCAGCTCCTTTCAAGTGTTCTCCCAATTTTGGAGAAAGCAAATACAATCATGGAATTGTTGAATTTCTTCTCTGAAAACATTGACAGATTTTCAATGGACAGAGCTTCAAAGATCATGATTCATTCCATCGGATGTCTCAATAGCGAATCATACAGAGTGTTTGACTCTTTACTCAAACACGACAAAGTTGATTTCGCATTGACTTTGACCGACCAAATGAAGGCAGAAACATTAATGTCTTCAATTATCAGATTGACAGAATTGACAGAAAAAAGTGACAATTTCAAAGATTTCATTTCACAAATACAGTTCCCGTCACTTCCTGTACCAATGATACGCTTCTTTATGGTTCTCCAGAAGAAGTTTGATGAAGATGAGTTCAGAGATATTGTCACAGATGTCTGCAATTCATGGGGATTACCAGATTTCATTTCTTTCAGTGAAGAAGCAGTTGTCAAACCAACAATGACAACATTAGTACAATCCTTGATTACACAGAGGATTTCCAATGAACCTTCTCCATTGTTCAGCTCATTATTGAAGCCATTACAGTCATTGATTGAACATGGAACAGAGTTACAATTGACATTGAACACTTTACAAGGAATTACTCAGTTGTTGGAAGAAGAACATGCACCAATTGTCTCTACATTGATCACAAAGACATTGGATGCAATAAATCAGGAAACTATAAAGCCAAGTATCCAATTGGCCGCTTTGTCTTTCACTGCAAATGCTGTTGAAAAGTTCAAAATGTCAATTTTGGATGTTTATCCACCTGTTTTAGATTTCGCCGCAGAATTCTTACAAATGGTTGTTGAACATGAAGCAGCAGATGCTATTGGCCCAACTGTTGGATCTGTCTGCTTGTTGTTATCAGCATCTCCTGAATTTTCTGCTGATAAATTAGTCAAAATTGTTCCTTCTCTTTTATCCCCAATGATTTTGAATAGAGAAGAACTCAGCACACTCGTTAACAAGAACTTGACAGAGATTGTTGCTGTTCTTTCATTGGATCAAGTTCTTCCTTCTTTCGTTGCAACATTGGAAGTTAAAAACGCTTCTCCTGAATCATTAATTGGAATGTTCGATTTGATGACGAAATCCCTTAAACACAGCGATGTCCACATGGTCAGAAGATTGCAGGCAACACTATTGAAATTCTTCTTATTGTCATTTACAATAAGATTTGATGATATCGATGATAACATGATGTTCCAAGATGCTGTTGCTGAAACATTTGGTGAATACGCGAATAGATTGAATGAACAATTATTTGCCATTGCTTTCTCAACAATATTACAGTACATGCTGACATTATCTGATAAGAAACAGAAGGATTATGTTGTAGGAAGATTCTTCTTCGCAAGAGTTATTCATTCTATTGTTAACACATTGAGAGAAGTCTTTGCAAAGTTTTATTCTTCTTTCTTCGATTCTTTCATCCAATTTGTTTTGGAATCTGATGATGGAATCTTAGAACAAAGAGAAGTGACAATAAGAGTTATGTTCGTATTAACAAAGATTTGCGATTACGCAGATCAGATCTTCTTCGAAACAAGATTCAGCAAAGTTTTAGATGCAATTAAAATGCACTTTAACTGTTTCGAAGGTGAATTGACAACAGAAACAATGGAGTCTGAATCAGATAGAGAAAGAACTTATGAATACAAGATGTTCGTTCTTGGTAACGCTTTCGCTGCTTTGATGAACGCTTCTAAGACTAATTTGACACAGATGATGAACGTGTTGATTGAACAATTACGTAACGAGAAATCTATAATTGTCATCAACATTCTCAACGTTCTCTTGATTTGCAGTGAAAATGCCCGTGATAACTTCTCTTCTGTTTTCACTTCTGCTCTTCCTGTTATCAACGAATTGCTTGAACATCCTGATGCTGATATCCAGGCTGCTGCTCGCAACGCTGTCCACAGTTTGGCAAGAACAAACGAATCAGTTAGAAACTTCTTCATTTCAGATCAATAAAAAAATAGATTTATATTTACTATATTTTAATTATATTTTTTCTTCAAAACATGTAGTGATGATTGTTTTAACAAGAACTGGTTAAAATTAATGTTTCTTACATTTGATATTTGAAATAAATTGTTTTATTAAAAACTTCTCATGGTAAATTGATGAAATTTTAATAAAACAAAAATATGTCATCTTATTGTTTCAATGAAGCATCATTGTATAGGTTTTTAGTCGAAATTATTTTCATGAGTAATAAGAGACTGTAAGTCAGATAAAATATAAATCAATAAAGTTTAAACATGCAATCAATATAGTAAACTATTCAGGATTCAAATGTTTTATAGTCATCTTTATTTTTTCATGGACAGTGGTAAGCAGAAATAGTATTATGTAATAATATGAGCAATAGATATTGTAATTTTGCAATATGAACTATCAATTCGAATAAAATAATATTTCGCATCTGAAAAATCGAAATAAAGATTGACGGATTGCCGTTTCGGATTTTATATTGATAGGATAATCATTATCTTTACTTAAAAATTATTTCCTTGAGAAGTTACAGCAAAGTCGAAATCGATAAGTGGAAAATGGTGAAGTGTTGTTCATAACGAGATAAGGAAAAGAATATTTTCATTGTTTGGTAATAAGTGATGCAATTATGGGGATCAAAGGGCAGTAAATTAATAATATTTTTAAAATGACACAATTTTTTACAAACATAACATTTCCTCAATGAATTAAAGTCCCGTCTGAATATTTTACAAGAATTGCCTTTGCTTCATGTTGTATTAATGACATGGCTGATTCAAATTTTTCTGACATGTAAACCAATTCTATTCAATTCTCGAAATGTGAATTGGTTGTTATCCAAAATGACAACATCAGTTCACTAATATATATCTAGAGATTATAGGAATCTTTTTATTTAAACATTGCCGACGGTTTTTCATATCATCGTTTTAAACATCTTAACTCCGATATGCTTATATAAGTACAATTAAGTAAAATAAATGATGATTTGTCAATACATAGAAAACGATGAAATATTTCAGAGGTATAGTTGAAATAAAACGATGAATTCTATACAAATTTTTTGAGAGTAAGCATTCACATCACTTTCATCAATGGTGAAGATCCTCATCGCTGATTCCCTCTCTCCAAAGGCCGTCGAAATGCTCAAGGCTGCTGGCCACGAAGTTCGCATGGACCCATCTATCACAGAAGCTTCCCTTGCTAACGAAATCGCCGACTACAACGTCCTCATCGTTCGTTCCAAGGTTGTCAACGCTGCTGCTATCGAAGCTGCTAAGGGCCTCAGCCTCATCATCCGTGCTGGCGCTGGTGTCAACACAATCGATGTCAACGCTGCCTCCGCTAAGGGTGTTCTCGTCTGCAACACACCAGGCATGAACAATGATGCTGTCGCTGAACTCGCTTTCGGCCACATCGTCTGCTGCGACCGCTGCATCACAACAAACACACAGCACCTCCGCAATGGCGAATGGCGCAAGAAACTCTTCCTTACATGCGAAGGCCTTCGTGACCGCACACTCGGTATCGTCGGCCGTGGCAACATCGCTAAGTCCATGATCCGAATTGCTAAGGGCTTCATGATGAACGTTGTTGTCTGGTCCCGCCGCTTCTCACCAGAAGAGGCTAAGGAACTCGGTGTTGAATACGCTGCCTCCCTTACAGAACTCGCCGCCAAGTCCGATGTTGTTTCCGTCCATGTTGCTTTCAACAAGACAGAGACATTCCACCTCATCGGCAAGGAATTCTTCGATGCTATGAAGAAGAAGGCTATCTTCATCAACACATCCCGTGGTGAAGTTGTTGATACACAGGCTATGCTCGCTGCCATCAAGGAGAAGGGCCTCAAGGTTGGTGTCGATGTCTTCGAAGGCGAACCAGCTGGCTCAATGGGTGACTTCCCACACAAAGAAGTTGCTGAGGCTGTTGTCTCCGCTACATGCCACATCGGTGCTTCCACAGAACAGGCTGCTGACAGAATTGCCAACGAGACAGTCCGTGTCTGCAACACATTCTGCTCAACAGGCGAAGCCCTCAACTGCGTCAACATCAACGCAGCTCCAAAGGCTGACGGCGTCATGACAGTCCGCCACACAGGCGTCTTCGCTAAGATCGTCGCTTGCTGCGAGGCTCACCAGGCTCAGATCTTTTCTGTCTCCAACACAGTTCTTAAGGGTGACAAGTCCCAGATCTGCACACTCAGAATGTCCGCTCCAGCTTGCTTCGTCGAGGAGGTTAACAAGATTGAAGGTGTCATTGGCACATCTTGCGCTCCATTAGCTTAAGTAAATTAATTTTTTGAATTTATTTAAAATTACAACTTCTTTTTAGTAAATTGCTCAATGAAATTATTAGAATTTGACCACAAACTGCTTGTTTCATGAAATATTTCGTTACTCTTCATAATCAGCTTATTGAATGTGAAATTGTAGTTCAATCTTAACATCAACTGCCTAAATTTTATAAATAATCGGAAAAATGGAACTAATAGTTAGCAAATTATCTTAATCGGACGACAATTGGAAATTATGCCGATCAAATATTAAACAAAAATCAATATCCCAGCATTAGACTACCTTATCCATCAGGAATTTATTATAACTCTACAAGATTGTCCGCTGAATTACTTTTTAAAAAAGTTTTATTTTATTTTTTCCAAAATTCCAATCATTTTAATGCATTCCATGTCTAATAAAATACTTACAGATAAATATTATAACACTTTAAGTATTTTATTCTATAATAATATCAAATAATCAATTTTATGCTTCAGTAACTTTCCAAAAAGACAATTGTCCGCCATCACCAGCGAGGAACAACTTGAGATCTCCACCATCGCATATACTAATATGAGATGCCATGACGCAGTCGTTGTGAGCTTTTTCAATTTTGTGGAAAAGAGTGCATCCGTTCTCAGAAACAAGGCTGAGAGCAACACCACCCTCACTATCACCACCTGCGAACATCAAATAGTCGCCAGCCCAATGAATGTCGATCGGATATCCGAAGCAATCGTTCAACATCGGTTTAATATCATCAAAATCAGCCAAACTCTGCTGCTCTATGAAATCCCAAATAGCGATACCGGCTGGGATTCTTCTGAGTGTGAAAACTCTGTTTGTTCCGCAGAATCCGCACTGGAAAATTGGTTGTCTGTCATTTTCAGCGAAAATAACAGATGTATCATCACCATCTTCATCTACTTCGCCGTCTAAGTCGTAGATAAGGAGATTTCCGTCATCATCGCCTGCGACAAATGTAGAATTTACTGTTGGATGGAATTGTATACTGGCAACTGTGTCTGACATGATATTTACGTGGTTGTGCTTGCACTCTGGCCTTCTAATATCCCATGTGAATATACCAAAGTCTGTACCACATGCGTAAATTGTTCCATCACACGAAATATCGCAGCATTCAATGCAAGTAGCTTCTGGAGTAGCAGCATCTGGATAAAATGTAGCGAAATTCTTGTTTGTTCTGATATCCCATAATTTGAACTCGTTACCTCCTCCTTCAGTATCAGTATTTGAAGAGCAAGAAGCAAGAATTTGGGACTTATCATTCCACTTTAGTCCTGTAATAACGCCTGTGTGTGCTGGAAAGTTTGATATTGATTTGCATGCCGCTGAATCAAAAGTATAAATTCTGCAATCTGAAGAAGAGGCAGCTCCAAGATTAGTTTGTGCTGATGCTGTGACGTAAACAAAAGAGGGTGTTTCAACACCTTTCTTAGGTTCTATAAAAATTTCACCAGTTTTAGTAAATTTTCGAGTTGCCATTATTTAAAAAAGTGACAAATAAAGAAGACTTTTTTCTTGAATCAGCCTAAATTGGAGGATAAAGGCATTTTAAGATAGACAATATATAAACACGGGCAAAACTAACTTCATTGTCATATACTACAGATGGTGTTTGCAATATTACTATAGGGATTTGCAATCAAATAAACAGAAGCTAATTTTTTTTTCATATCTCATAATAAACTTTACTCATGAACGATGGTTTTGAATATAGAATTATACATAGCTTTTGATTTTTTTGGATTCAAATCTTTAAATCTTTAAAATGTATGATAGGATCTTGTGAAATGCACATGACTTTTTGCCAATATGAAATTGCTTCAAATCCTTATATTACTTACTAATGATAAAATATAAAATTCATTATTATTGAATATCCATTAATACAAGGATTGAATATCTTAATCTGTATTTGCAAAAACTTATGGCCTATATCATCGCAATTTTATATCAACTTCAATAATATTATAATATCGAGATAATTAATGAAATATAGGGGTTAATTTATTTGCTATATCTTTTCATTATTTTCGCATGTTGGTTGTTAGTTTGAATGGAGAAATTGATAGAGGACATTTTACAAAACGGTTTTGATGACAAAAATTGAATATGAGGAATCGACCAAATATGATATCTCCTGTGAGAATGGAACCAGTATCATTAATGCAATGCATTTTAGAACAATAAAGTGAAAGACCATCTCAAATTGATCATTAACTCAAATTTCAATTCATTCTCAATTTAAGTAAATTTTGAATTGATCTATCAATTTAACTTATCGCCATAAAATACTTGTGATATTGATTACGATTATGATTATTTAACTTAAAAGTGATATGATTGCATGATTACATTCAATTTCTCAGAACACTTTCATGCTTGCATCCGCCAGCAGGTTCGCAACAAATGTACTTATTTTCAATGCTAGCCCTAGAGCATATGGAAATACTTATAAACTTTTAGAACAAGTCAAGAAGGGTGTTGAATCAAAGGGTAAAACAGCCGAATTAGTCCAGCTTTCCCAATTAAAGTTTGACGGTTGCATTGCCTGCCTTGAATGCAAACTCAAGGGTAAAGAATCAAAACCAGGTTGCGTTGTCCAAGATGACTTCACACAGTACATTGACAGAATAAAGGATGTTGATGCTTTCGTTCTTGGATCTCCAGTTTATTGGAGCAACTTGTCATCTCTTTATTATAAGGCATATGAAAAAATCATGTACTCTTTCCACAATTACGATAATGATAAGCCATACAAGATGACTCGCCCAATTAAGACAGGACTTATCTTCTCAGGAGGTGCTCCAAAGGATTACTTTGATAACGGCTACAAGGCTATGTGCAAGCAACAATCAGATATCCTTAAGTTTATCTTCAAAGGCCATTCTGAGTACATGACCATGCCCTCACAGCTCCTCCTTCCAGATACATCAAGACTCCACATTCCATCTGAGCGCATCGAAGAGAAGAAGACATTTAACGCAGAACACCTTGAAGAGCTCAAGCAAAACGCCTTTGAAATGGGTGTCAGACTTGCTTCCGAATAAATTTTAGTGAATTTTATTTCTTAAAAAAAATTTATTTAATTGAATTTGAGTTTTTTAAACAAATTTCATTCACAACAAGTGCTTTTGGTTAATGTTTGTTTAAGTTTTAAATACAACATATATATTTATTGAAGTTTATTTTATTTTGAAAGATCTAGGCTATCAGCAGCTTTATTGTGGTAAAACTTATATACATGCAGTTAATATATTTCCGAAATTGAAATGGTTTGAGCTATGATATTATGTATCCAAAATAATTATGTTATTCACATGTTATTCAGAGCTGATAAGAAGTAATATCACAAGCATGAGAAAAGTTAACAAGAACAAACTAAAGTTTTTAGGTTGTCCCAGCCTTACTTCCTTGAATAATTTCGATCTTGTAATGGGATTCCAAAAAACGAATTATTATTGAATTGGAAATAATCGTTTAAAAATATAACAATCATGAACAACTCCGCCGAAGCGAAAAAAGCCTTCAAACACTGCTGTAATGGATCTGAAGAAGCATTTATGGCCCTTGTTCCAGGCAGTGTAAATATAAATTTCCAAATTCCAACAAGTGAATTCAATCGTCTGTTTCTTGAAAACCCATCTTTCCTTCACTGTGCTGCAGCTCACGGAAAAGAAAAAATGGCATCTCTTTTAATCAATTTAGGCATTAATTTAGATTTAAGAGATGGAAAAGGTCGAACTGCAGCAGCATTGGCATGCTATTTCGATAATCCTCGCACTCTAGAAGTAATTTTACAAGCAGGAGCAGATCCATTTATCAATGATTACAATGGTTATGCACCAATTCACTGGGCAGTCTGGAAAAACAGTATTGACTGCATTAAATTACTATTAAATTACGGAGCAGATCCATGTGTCCACAATTTTGCACTTAGAGAACCTATACACATTGCAGCTCGTCAAGGTTTTGTTCCATTAATTGAATTTTTACTTTCTAAAGGAGCAAATATTAACGCAAGAACAATTGATGGCAGGACACCTCTTTACGAAGCGACGTGTGCAACAGATGAAGCAACAAAAACTACAGGAAGAATAGAAACAGTTGAATATCTTTTATTACATGGAGCTGATGCTTCAATTCCTGATTTAATTGGCAGATCTCCATTACATTGGGCTGCTTTTTATGGCCATCTTAAAGTTGTGCAACTTTTAATTGAACATAATGCAGAAGTTACAAAAGCTGATGATGAAGGCGTTTGCCCAATACATTTAGCATGCTTGTCATGCGTTCTTGACTTAGTTGGAGCTCTTACAAATGCTGGAGCTGACCTGAATTGCAGTGATAAGCATATGAGAGTTCCATTACACTACGCTGGTAAAGCAGGATCGCTTCCTGTAGTTAAATATCTTCTTGCACGTCATGTTAAAACTGGAATTGCAGATGATAATGGAGATCTTCCAATTATGGTTGTTGATCCACAAAATACAGAAATTATTGAAGAAATTCAAAGACATTCTGATCAGTCAAAGCAGTTTATGGCAAAAATTCAACCAAATAAAGCAGCAAATAACACTTCATTCAGAAATTAATTTATATCCTTATATACATACAACACAATACATTACTCAGTCAATACTTACTGTTGGATGCCATTTTCGAAGGTTTTTAATTCAATCCAAATTATCCCTTTCTCAAGATACTTCAACTGCAACCAATACTATATTGGTACGATATTATATCGAATGCTACTTCTACTTTCCTTATTATTTGCAGATATAGTCCTTTTTCACCAATTTTATCAAAGGTAACTAAACTCCTTTCGCCGATCCGATTTGCCCCATATTTAAAATATAGCTTGCATATGTAGAAGAAAAGCTAATTTTGAAGTACGCCCGAAATCCACCAACAGGATTTCGAGCTACTAAAAAGGTACTTTTAAATGTGATTTTTTTTTATAAAAAATTAAATTTATTTTAAGATCAGACTAAAAACTAATTTTATGGAAAATCTATATCGACAAATTTATTACTTATTGGGTATATAGATTTTTTGATTATGGCGATTATGTCTGATATGCTTCCAATAAGCCAAAACAGTGTTTTGGGAGTGATTAAATACAAAAAAATCCGGCGATACTTTACGTGGCAAATAGTCGAATGGTTATTACCCCTTACTATTGGGTACCCGGGACTCTAGTTCGAAACTGATGCACTATATTTTTTTACAAAATGCGTTTATTAGGACAGGGTAAAGAAAGGTTGCCAATATAATATATTTAAATAAATACAACTAATCTAGCATAAAAAAACTATTGAATATTTGAATTCAATAAAAATTTAAGAGGTAGGGCAACGATAGAAAATTTTTGGAAAAAAAGTTCGGAGATCTTAAACGTATCATATTCCCTGCATGGTTTGGTATCTTCCGCCATGCGTTGTGCCAAACATATTGACACTTTCCAATAATTAATTTATGGTATGAGTCACAGAGTTAGATTATAAAAAGAAAGTAAATAATTGCAATTAGAAATCATATATGTCGGAAATCAAATGTTGATGAGCAGAAACCTTTTACTCATCATAAAAGAGATAAATCACTAAAGATTTGTATACATTAAAATTTGATATTTGGTGCTCGAAAACTGTCTGATGGGACTCCTCCAAAATGAACCAATCTATCGCTGAGGACCAAATAGATGATGTGGATGGTGTATTCTCTAATTCTAACTTAGGGAGAATGGGAAAAAACGAATGACGACAACAACATGTCAAACATAGATTAAATATCTATGAATCAATAAAGTATACGTGCATTGAAGGTGATAACGATCACTTGAGGCTTATAACTCTTTGACTAAATTATGCAATAATTAAATATAATCATTTTTATATTTTTATACTGATAGTAATTAATATACTATCCTGCTTAATAAATGGTATGATCAAATTTGTTTGAAAATTTAATTATGTATATGAAACTATGTCTTCTATATAAAAATCAAAATTTTCTAACGAACCTAGATTGAACCTTTATGAAAATCTATCATTTTTGTTAATTGAGTTAATATGTATCTTTTACATATGTATATATAGCATTGATAGCTTATATAATCATGGTTTATTCCATATTAACATATTTTTTCAGTTAAATTTGTTAATAATATCATGTAACAAATTAATTCAAGATTAGAATGTCTACAAAATGCTGACAAATAAGAACAAAATACGATTTCTCGACTTAAATTTTAATATGGAGTAGTTTTTCGTTTAAATCTAATTAAAAATGAATAAAATTATCTTGTACTATTTTCATTCAAAGATTTTAATAATGTAAATCATGCATTTTCATAATTCAGTACAGTTCTTTTTAGAATTAAAGTTGATGAGGATGATATTTGTGATTTAAAATAATTTGTTAATGTTCACCTTTTATTCATCACCTTGTGGTATGCCCTAAAGCAATAGCATTATCAATTCTGCTGAATTGATCAACTCAAAATTCCAAAAAAATTCAAAATTTCAAAAATGAAATTAAACAATTTGAATTTTCACATGAAAAAATCAATTTCGAAAAAAATTTGGAAAATCAAAGTATTTGATAATTAGTCAAATAATAATTTACATCGTTCTTACTCATAAAAACAACTAATTTTTGATTTTGATATCATATTTGATAAATACTCATTCCAGAGTTGACGTAATGTATTAATTATTGTTAGAGATATTGCTTTCGCAGCAAAATTCTTACTTCATGAAAGAAAAAAAATGATTTTATTCCAACAAAAACAAGTAAACAGATGAATGGAAACGTACTATATTTTCATAAATGTAGTAATCAGCGTGTCAGCTTTTGTTTATCATGTTCGAGTCAAAATGTATTAACTTGTAATAAGAAATATTCGAAGATTATATGAAGTATTGAGCATTCTTTGTAGAAATATTTGTAATTCATTACTAACATATATAATAAAGTTGTTTTTTTTCCTTATTGCAATAATTTTGTCTGATTTTAATAACTTTTCATGTATACGAGTTGTGTGAATATGCATCATAATATGCGTAAATATACTTATTTGCGACGAATAATGTGGTTGCATAATGGAGGTGCTAAATTTTGATTTTTAATATGGGGCTTTGGTATGTATAATCATGTTCTTATCTCAACGTAGGAGTATTGGTGCAATATGATTAAAATTTACGAGGTTGATCTTAAATTGAATAATTCTGGAGTATAAATCACAATGCAGCTAATTCTATGTTAAAGATAGATACAGATTGTAGTAATCAATTAGGGAGTACAAATTCATTCTTTCATTTCTGTCGTATTGAGCAGAAAGGAAGAGATCATAACCCTAGGAAAAAAAGCCCAAATTTGTCACTTTTCATAGTACGTTAAACTCAATTCGCTCGGCGAATGCCGAGCACACGTACTCATCATTCAACATAATATTCTCATTCTTTGGTTATTATAGTGCCAGACAACACAAGATTTCAAAGAATTACTTGAGTTTTCAATTAATCTTAATCCGATTTTAGATTTATCGAGAACTCCATCATCACAATCACATACTTCAGTGCGGTAACTACAATTATCCATATACAGAAGGAAGTTCTTTTCGAACAACTCATTTGGAGTCTGTTTTGGAAAGAACTTCTTTCTGTCCGACTTAATTTCATAGTTCCTGATCAACCAAAAGACAGAAACCACACACTATCTACTTAGGAAAGGAGTTCTTTCTAAATCTTCCTTAAATTGAGATTTTACGAGAGATAACCCTTCTATTGCACTTAAAAATGAACATTTTGATATCTTTAGTATCACACATGGTCATATATAGTATTTCATCTACATGAATACATTCATCTTTCGAAGTCTCTCATTAAATGGGAGGCTTCGAAAGATGAATCGTTTTATTCATACAACTTTAAATCTCGAACACATTTAGAGAGTGAGTATATCATTTTATTCTTGTTTTGAGTTTATTCTGATTCAAAATTGCAGTGAAAACAGAAGTTCACACATCATATCTGAATGTGAGCTCATCTATACTTATACGATCTCAATACCTCCACTCTAAGCATAAGAGGTGAAGTTATATAAAAATTATCAGATGCGTTGAAGTCTCAAAAGAATTGCCTGAATGCTTGTTTCATATTTGTCCAAGTAGTTTCAATGAATAAATGTATTGTTTTTTATAATTTCGATTTATTTTTAGAAAATATTCAATATAAACCTTTATTGTGTTATTTACATCTCATAAATTCTCTGTCTAAATCATATAAAAGCGCGTTTTACCCCTATGAATCAAGAAATTCATTCAATATTCATGGTATATTTATTAAATTTATACGATTTACTAATAATCAATATTATATCCTCATAAATAGCAATATATTTTGGTAATCTATGATAATCATATACAATATTTGAAATCAAATTTTCATTAGTTTAGGTTCCTTGTTAATAGTAAACCATTATATTTATTACTAATAATAAAATCTATGTGTCGTATTGAAATTCAATAAAATTACTTATTCGGTCCAAAAAAACAAATTAGATAAATTTTTTCTTTTTTTATGTAATTTTTGTTTTTCATTTTTCTCAAGATCCTAAGTTATGTTCTAACTTTTGACATCATATCCTATCATGCTAGGCTATATATTATAGCATATCCAAAAGGCAAGGAAATCTATCAGAGAAGCCTTTTTGACCTATCGTTGCCCTACCTCTAAAATTTATATAAAATACATGTAAAGCATAAATTACTATATAAACGTAGAATCTGAATATCATATCAGAAAATGTCGCAAATCTGACATTTACCCGACCAAATAGCAAAAATAATTGAATACTTTTCGCAAAAACTTTAAAAATCGATAAAAATATGAAATATAGATATTAAAGAGACTTTTTATATAATATTCATAAAGATTTTCCAAAAATATGATACCGCAAAATTAAAAAAGTGACGTCTTGAGTGGAGTCAAAGGTCGAAATTGCTAGCTAAATGTTTTTTAGCGAAATTGCGTATTGTACGTTTTTTTCGCAAAACGAAACCCTTATTACAAGATAATTAAAATATATGACCTCATTATAAATGAATTTTAACTCTAGATAATTGAGAAAGCTACAAATTGTTTCTAAATCTTGAAATTATTCGATGTCAATCTAATTTTTCTTGTTATAGCCTACTTCTATGGTGTACAGGTTGTCATAATTACTATTTTAAAGTGTAAAACATGCTTATATCAATCAGGACGTTAAAATGGAAAAGTACATACCAAGCAAATGTTTGGATTTATATGCGACAGCCTTTTTAATGGATGTGACAAAGCGTTTCAATATAGATTTTGATTAAAGCATAACTGCAAATTATAATTTGACTTTATATGTACCAATAATAATGGCAATTATGAGTTTTTTTATATAAATTATATCACACCGCTTCTAGTAATTTTTAGCTTAAGCATATCATCGGCTAATTTTCAAAAAAAAAGAATTTCAAATTTTAATCCAAATTCTTTTCTTAAAATTCACAATCAAATTACAGCTTATCTTTAATAGTCTTATTCATTATATGCTTTTTTTTCGGCTCCATAAAAGTCATAAATTTTTCCATCATAAATTTGTTAGAAATTGGGTTACCATTGCCAAACATTTGGATAGAAAAAGCCCAATAAATTATACCCAAAGCATCCAAACATGAAGATATCATATAAGAAATATAGTTTAATTCAGTAATTCCCTAAAATCTAAAATGTTTAAGAACGTTTGTTCAATATCTTACAATCTAATTCACAGATTTAGCATATGTACTACGTATCAAATATACAATGTGATCTCTCAATAAGCTTAGAAGGTTAATTATTAAAATTAAATAAAATTCTACAATTAGCGAAAAATAATACGGCAGATAATATGCTTATAGGTAAAGAAATTCAAAGAGCATTCCTTAAATTTTTTCGAAATTTATCAAAACTCGAAGGTAAATCATCGAGTGATATGCGAAAAAAACTTTTTTATTCTATTAATGATAATAAATATATTAGCCATATTAAAACTTTTCATTTTTTAAAACTCATAGAAATACGTTTGATATTCTTCATTAAGAACATATAAAAACGAGTATAATTATCATAATCTGTTAATTTACAATATAAATGCTTTTCTGCTTGTAGTAAATATCAAATAAGAAAATAATAACATTATAAATTTTTCAAATAAGAATATATTATCTAGCATCTAAGCATGAAGATATTTAGAATTTGGATATCTAAATTCTGCTTAGATTACTTTCAAAATATAAGTCAATAATCTTTGATTTTATTAAACGCTAATATTGGATAGTATATTTTCACAATTTAATTGTAGTAGATAAATGATAATTCATGTAACTCATTGATTTCGATCAAAAGTTATATTCACCTTGTTAAAAAAAATATAAAAAAAACCTGGTGCTTACTGATTTGAACATATTGCCTTTGAACCCCACGACATAACCAGTAGGCTAAACGTACAGTGATTTTTTTTATAAATTCTAGTATAAAATACTTCCCGCAGGGCATTTGTTAAATTATTTCACATTCTGATGACATAATTTTTAATATCATAGATAATGAAAGCGAAAAATATATAAAAATCGACAAACATGTTATAATGAATTGAGAGCTTTACGTGTCAAAAAGCACATTTCATACTGATTTCTATAAAAGGTATCTTTATTATAGAAGTGTAAGCTATATCTGTTTGTTTTTTTATTATAACAAATTCAAAATTCTCTTATAAGGACTAGATGAAATCTGTATTATTAAATCATTAGCTAAATGAAGGTTCAAATAGAAAGTAAATATCAATTTATATGATACTGAAACCAAATAGTTCTTTTAATAAAAGATAACACGCTGAAAATTATTGAGTATTTGCAAATCTCAAAAATCTATTGGTGAATTTGGCTCAACTTTTAAAATTATAACATCCATATCAAATCATAAAAGCAGACAAAAATTAAAGCCAAACCTATCGGCCAATTTTTTTTTATATTTTGATTTTTGAGGTATACTTTTAAAAGTGGATTTAAAGCACTTATGAAAAAACATTAACTTCTGTCGTTATGATTATTGATTTAGACAATAATGATTTTAATCTTTGATTATCAAAACACTAAAGTCATCTTTTTAACATTTGCTTGGTAGCATTAACTCAAGTCTAAAGTACTATTTTATGTGGCACTCTTAGAATTTTTGTATTCATTGTACACGCTGAAATAGTACCATTAAAGTTATGGCGGACTTTCAAAAAATAGTTTGGTCACCTTTATTTTATCATTTATTGTTTGTTTTTAATCTTAGTAAATAATATTACTATCAAATACTTTTATTTTTTGTTACGGACATTTCAATAAGATTTAAGGGTGCCCTATAGACGATAGACCACCCTCAGAAAAGCACTTTTAAGGCTATTATATTGAGAACTAGAATCTGGATAATCCATTCATTCGAGTTCTAATAAGGTTAATTTTGTGATGTTTACATTATCGTTATAGGGCACCCTTAAATTGAATGAGAAATTAATTCTCTCTCGAGATATTCGAGGTAAACATTTAAAACAAATAGACTGATATGTCCTTTATGGATTTTCCATAAGATTACCCCATTTCCTTGTACACATTCTCAGATTTTTCAATTTCAATTCAGACAAAACCTCTATTTTGCAATGTAAGGAGCATTTCCCCAAAAATTGAACTCCTTGTATATACAAGTTCGTTGTTATTTATTGCGCACACGCCCATAATAATGAATGACTCGAAGTAAGATGAATTTGAATGAGCATTCAATTCCTTATCGGTTTAAGAATTCATGAACTCTGACAAGAGAATCATGATGGAGGTCAGGAAGATGGCCACAAATCTTCCACCTGGCATCTCAATAACACAAAATCCAGAGAATACACACCATTTCTTCGTTGTTATCGATGGTCCTCCATCAACTCCATTTGAAGGCGGCAAGTTTAAGCTTGAGCTCTTCCTCACTGATAAATATCCTATAGAGCCACCGAAAGCACATATGCTTACAAAAATTTATCATCCAAACATCGATAAACTTGGTCGAATCTGCCTAGACATCCTAAAAACAGAATGGACACCAGTAATGAATATCGAAACAACTGTTCTTTCCATCCAATCATTAATGTGCGAGCCTTGCCTCGAAGATCCATTAGAAACACAAATTTGCCAACACTACGTCACAGATCGCAAAGGAGCTGAAGAAACAGCAAGAGAATGGACAAAACTTTATGCAAAGGATGTTTAAGTGAGTTAATCATCACCACGCTTTTATTTGTCCGTAGCAACTTTTTGTTGTCTTTTTGCATCACTATTAGAGCTTATTAAAATAATATACTAACTAAAATATTATTTACTTACATTAAAATCATCTCTTTAACATCTTAATATAAATTCATATTTTTTTGTTCTTATAATTACTTAAATTCTAATAGAAATTTCATATATGCATCACCAAGAAATAAGTTATTTCATACAAGAATGATTTAAAAATTATAAATCAATAATCGATGTTAATTAAGAGCAAAACAGATGAAAAAGGTGTCAATCATACATCAGCTTGTGATCAAAAGTATTAATTTTTGATGAATTATTAATCATATACTAATAACATTGAAATGAGATTTGGACATTATCACTATGAATTCTTAAGTTAAATTAAAGGCATCAATCATACTTTTTTCCAAATGGAAAGCCCATATATATGAAGGATTTATTCTCATTTTCTGCTCATCAGCAATGTTACAAATGAATGCAAAATTCTTTCTATTTGTAGATCTTCTAGGGCTGTACAAGATTTAAAAAAACATTGCCGGGTTACCGTAGAGGCCTAAAAAAATCGCGCCTCGGCGGCAAGCCGCCTCGGCATTAAGAATGCGCATCTAAATTTTTATATGTCCTTCTTTCTTTTATTTTTCCCTTCCCTTCCTTTTCTTTTTCTTTTTTTCCCTCCTCTTGCTCTCATTTACCTTTTTTTCCTTTTCTCATCATTTTTCAAAATTTAAAATTTTTATCAAAAATCTTGCCTATAAAAGCAGATTATGGAACCTTTTAATGCCTCTTAATCAATATTATACAGCATAAAGCATATTAAATGAAAGTAATTACGTATAAATTTATTTTATTATCTTATTTATTAATTCTTTAGCATGTATTGTTTAATATTAACTTTTCTGTACATTAAATATGATATCTCCAAAGTATGAATGCCTTGTAACGAAACGAAAACTTAATTTTATGTTGAATATTTGTCACAAACATTAGATTCTTAAAATATATGTTGGATATCCCTTAGTATGAGACTTCATGACTCTTGTTGTCTAACGTGAGCTTTGGATTGCAAGCTTGCTACAGCACATAAGTATTCTGTGGTTAAAAAACACATGAGCTTTAAAAACTATAAACCAAAAATAATTGTTATAATTTAAATGAAGAAGTAATTTAAAACGATTTTATTTATGATCAAATTTTATATATTTTTTTGGATCAAATCCATTTTAATAGAATTTATATACTATTCATCTATTAGTAAACACTACCGTATATTATTTTTTAAGCTATCTTATTTTTTGAAATTTTATTCAAATCTTTGGTCGCAAGAAGAATTGCATGATAAATAAAAACATTTAATCAAAGTCAATTTTATTTTCATATTCAAATGGACTGAGTGTTAACATTTAACATTTTTTGCTAATTGTCGTCAAAAATTAGGCGTAAAGCAAAAATTGATATTTCATATGGTTTTATGATAGATAAGCATTATATTCCCACTCATTATATTCGTAAATTTTGAGGTTTATCCTTCGCTTTTAAGATCATTGAATTTGATTTTTATATAAAATAGTTATATATTAGAAAATAATATGAGTTTATGTGATATTATTTTTCAGAAGATTTCATTCTATATGCCTATGAAAAGTACTCTCAAAACTAACTTTTTCCTAATTATAATTAAATCTAGAATATTGTATTATGCTTAGTATTATTTCATTTTTCTCATTCAATTTAGAATTTACAAATGTCAAAAAATTGAGAGCTGTCACTTTTGATGAATTTCTGTTTATTACAGCATTGTTATTAATAATGAAAAATAAAGCTTATTTCAATGAAAATTGTTCTGCAAATTTATTTCACTTTTGACCTCACTTTTTCCGTAATTCAATTTTTTACTTTTAATATTTTAGATCTTCATAATATCATTTGAAAAATTAACCATATAAAAAAATCAAGTTATCAATTCACTTTTTCCGTAATTCAAAAATCAAAAATATAATAATATATCTTTTTATCAAATATTATTATTATATTCTATGAAAAATGAGGTCCGGAAATTTTGCGGATTCCCGTAACTCAATTTTACAGAAAAAGTGCAGTAAACTATTCAAAATACGGGAAAATTGGTGTAAACTAATGATTTTACGGTAAAATCACGGAAAGTCCCGGAAGAATATATGTGCCTATATGAAATTATACAAAAATGAATCAAACGCATTTTAAAAGATTGTTCTTGTATTATAAATGCTATTCGCAGATTTATTAGTTGAAGAAAATTACCAAATTTTTGCCGATTTACAAAAAATGATTTACAAAGCATATTTTTATAAGGCTTTAAAAATCTTTAAAATGTGACCGGTGACGGAAATCCATGGTAACCAACCGCGGTTCCCGTTTGGAATGCCATAAGATCTTCCTTATAATATATATATATGAATCAGGATAAAGAACATAAACAATACTTAAGGGTGCACTTACCCCTTTCTGACATTCTCTCAATTTTTTTGACACACATGTATTCTATCACAATATTCTCATGTCAAAAGTTAATATTTTTGGTCAGGAGAAAGTAAATATAAATCACTATATAGTACTTAATTTTATGCTATGAAAGATATGTTGATTTTTTCATAGCATGCCAGAAGGTGGTAAGTGCACCCTTAAAAAAAATTCTATAAATTCCAAAAAATAATAATAAAAAATTGTTTATTTTTATCTAATGTACTCCAACATTCCCTTATCAAGTTTCTTGAAGTAAGTACCATCATTATCGAGTTCACCGAGGATCTTTTTAATGAATTCCTTATCCGCGACGAAGAATCTTCTCAAGTAATCGATTGTCAAATTGATCAAATCATCAGTATCAATTGTATTCATTTGTTTGAGAGTTCTGACGATGAACGCCTTTGTTGTATTTACTTTCTCTGATTCTGTTTCAGCTGTTACTATCTGTTTGTTCTGTTTCTGTACACTGATGCAAGTAGGGATAACGATTCTCTTGATATCTCCATTCATGTGGAATTCCTTATTCATCATGATCAAATCAGTATCAGACAGTTGTTGTTGCTGTTGTTTCTCAGTTGTTTTCACTGTTTTCTCACGAACACAGATCTGTAAGCCAAGTAATTTAGCAATGCACTTCTTTACCAGTGGTTTCTCTTCCTGTGTGTACATGATTATGTCTTGGACACTGACTTTTTCAGTCTGATTTTTGTGTAAATAAGATAAAATTTTTGATGTCAAAATGTCAGTTGTCAAAACATAAGTTTCTGGTTTGTTTGACTTAGAGTTCTTAGGGATTCTCCATTTGGACTGTACAGTTGATGTATCAGCTAACAACATTAGTGTCATGCTCTTGTTCTTCTCTTGGTAAAACTGTATAAATCTGTCATGTACAGGACTGAGAAATTCTGGAATTTTCGTCTGTTCAATTATATACAACTTGTAATGGTTCTTGTTAAAAACAATGGGACTGAACTGTACTTCCCTCATTCCATCCGGCCACTCGATTTTGGTGTTCATGATCTGTTTCTTGAAATCATCATCAATTTGCGCGGAATTGTCAATGCAGGCTTTGAGATCTTTGTAGCCTTTCATGAATTCTGGCTGTTTCTCCTTCGAAATGGTTTCAATCATCATCCTTTCTTCGGCATCAAATTTTGTCAAAAATTTAATGAGTCTTTGTAACAAGGCTTGCTCGTAAGTGGTGCAGAAACCAACTTTGTCCTCTGTATATCTGAAAAATCGGGCACATGTTCGCTCAAAATTCTCGTTTTCCGTCTTACTTAAGCGTTTTTTCTCGTTTTTGATGTGGAAATCGATGTATTGGACGAAGTTCTCGACAATGTTGAACGCAGGTATGTTCCAGCCAGCTGTGATGGCTTTTTCGAACTTTTCGCGAGCTTCTTTTTCCATATCGAAATTTGGATCGTCGGATTTCTTCCTCATGTGCTCCTGGCTGCAGAAAACAAACTCAAATGGCTCGGTCTGGGATAAAACCTTCTTAATGATCTCGTGGATTTGAGTAATTTTATCATTTAATTTCATGTGGTCGGAAAACTTCGGCTCGAAGCTCTTTATGTCCTTTGTCATGAACTCGCAGATCTTCGGAATGAATTCGCACATTATATGATTCTTTTGGTGGAATCTGAGATAACTATCGCGAATTAACCAGCGAAGAAGGTTCTTGTCTTGAAGAGCAGAGTAGATCGGAGGTACTTGGAAGTCTTTCTGGTTGGCAAATGTCTCTGTGTTCTTGAAAATGGCACTTTCATGAGCAATCATTAAAATCTCGTTGACATCCTCTTCATCTTTGAAAATGGCTTTGAGAAGAAGGTTTTCTTCAAAATCAAGAAGCTCTTTAATGCGTTTAAGGAACTCTACAAAGTTTTCTGAGGAATTATATTCATTTTCGTACTTTTTCTTCGTAGATTCCTTGAGACTGGCCATAAAATTCTCAAATATGCTTCTATCACAGTTGGAATTCTTGTATTCATAGAATAATTCAATGATTTGCCTCAAATTTGCTGTTCCTGAGACAATTCTGTTTGTTCTGGCATCTTCGATAACATCAATCATTGATTTGATGATTAGATCAACAACTTTTGTCTGATTAAGAACTTTCTCCTTAAATTTTGTAAACAAAATCTTTTCTGTTCGATATTCAGAATTTTCTGCTAATGATTCATCATATCTACTGTAAAGCTTTGGCAATATCTTTAAAAATGAGGCAAAATATGAGCAATGTTTGGAAAATTTTATAACTAAAGGGTTGACAAGAGCTGTTTTGGACAAACTGTTGTACTGCTTAGAAAACTGTTTGTCAAGATGATTTTGGAGTGTGTCTCGAAGCTTGTTCGTGCATGAATTATTAACTAAATTGTTCATGCAATTATAAAGATAGCTAAGACTGAGAGAAGAGTGCTTGTGCGTGAGAATAGATGTGATACTTTTTGATATCTCTTCTAAGTCTTTATGTGATGAATAGGTATTCGATGTTTTACGAGGCATTTATTTTTTTGAAAAAAATTCAATTTTTTTTCCTAAGGATGCAATTTTTCTTTTGGTATTTTTTTTCCCATTGAGTTTTTGACTAATGATCTATTAGTCATGTAGTATATATGTTTAGATTAAAACCATCTTTGGACGAATTTTCAGGCTTGAAATGAGTGTTTTATGGAATAATTTTTCATTCAATATTATGAATAAAGCATATACTTTACATAATTCATGAAGTGTATTCACAACGAATGAATGCAGTTATTCAATATGAAGAAATGCCAAGTTTGTTATTTTGGAAATTTGGAAAAATTCAGTTTTTACTGTTGATTAGTATTAAATTCTTAAATGCTCAGTAGTTGAAATATGAATAATATAATATTTTAGTATTTTGAAGAATAATGAAGTATTTTATGAAATTCTTTTTGATGAAAAATAATAAGCTGTGCATTTAATAGGATTTAACACAAGTCATGCAAATGCTAGCTGATTAAAGTATGAAATCAATCCAAATTGATCACGCATTGTATTAATTGTTAAATAACGCTTATTCCGACAATAAATAGTGCTATCACAGATGTTATTGCTGATGTATGAAAAAAAAAATGTTTGAAAGCATTCAAATTTTCAGAACTTTTAACGTTTGTGAAGGAATATTTAATTCATTTCTCAAAATATTTTGCATAAAGGTACATTCACTATTTTTGACAAAATTTTAAATTTTCATGGGGTTGTAAATCTTATAATAACTAGATGAATAAGGAATGAATCCCAGTATAATGTGCATCATTATATTAAACACTATATGTAAGGCTAATGATTCTATTAACACTTATGAAGATCTATAGTATTTGAGCAGATAAATTTGATAATTTCCAAAACTCTTATATTTCAAAATTAAAGTGTGCGGATGCATTTAAATGAGAGCAAAAAGAGATTGATGCTGTTAAAACTAGGTGTTAATTTGCAATTATTTCGCATCACAAGAACTACCCAGTAAATTCGGCTATCTTTCTTTGCAATTATTCTCCATTATACATATAATATAATGGTTAGGGTTTGAAGAAAAGTTACTAGAGAATTATTGACTTTTGAAATAATGCAGAATTTTACTTGAAGAAATCATTAATTTATGAGTTCCAAATTGCTAAGCATGACGAAGGATCATTAAATTTGCTACAATTAAATACACTTATTGCAGAATTAAGATTTTTGAAATTAAAAGTTTGAAATATTGCCTTTTTGAATAAAAATTTAAATTTTATTATATAATCATGATAATATCTTATAGAAATTAAAAGAAAATATTTTAAACCATTCAAATATTTTGAATGTCTTATCAATTTAAAATATTAAAAGATAGCTTGATTTTATCATCATTAGTTGTTATCAAAGTTTTCTTCTTTTGATGAACAACAGTAAATGATTTGTTAATTACTTGTCTTCCTTTTTCGCAGCAAAATCAAAAGTTATGATGATAATCTTGCTGTCAATTTTGAAACTCTCTGATTTACAAGTAAGCATTCCTTTGGAAAAGCAGTCCTATTCTGTTTTCAAGATATTTTAAAGCCTCCATTTCATACAATGCGCAGATCTATTCGAAATTGCAAGAACTCTCAAGAAAAATGCAGCAACAAAGAAGATTCCATAGTTTCTAGCATCAAAAATTTACAACCTTAATACAACAGTTAAAGAGAAGCTCGAAAAGAAAATATTTAACCATAAAGCTGGAAACCATTCGATATCTACTATTGGATCTAATAAAAAGTTAATTATAACATATTTAACATGCTATTTGTTGACTTTGTTCCATTATATTACCATATATATCTTTTTGAAATCTAAAATATTTTTACGATTTTAACCATGTGTTGTTGAAACCATATATCAATCTTAGCTAAAGTATAGTTTATGAGTCTGTCACCATCTAACGTATGAATTTTCAAAAATGTCAAATATGTTCATTTTTTCTGTAGATTCAGCCATAATTTCACGTTGTTATACTATTCAACTATTATTTAATATTTTTATCGATTTAAATATATGATGAGATGCTTAGTTCTCCTGGAAATCGATTTTTAATCGCAATTTTAACTTTCCAAAAAAAATTCAAAAATAAAAATCCCTCTCAATTTTCTAAGTTTTATAACTCGCCAAATCTCTAGCCAAATTTTTTTGGCCCGTATAAATATTGTTAGGCACTATATAGGGATGCTATTTATCCTATTTGCATCCCATTTTACTGTTATCGCCTAGTGAATGTACCTTTTTTTGCATATAGTAAAAACTTAGTTAGCAATAATTCTTCGGCGAGTTTTTTTTGGTTTGATCACAAGTTACTTTTTTCAAAAAAAAATGATCTGATTACTTATGAGTCTATTTTAAATGTATCATAATTTCTTAAAAATTAAGGCAAATTTATTGACAGGATTAAGGTTTTATACTTTTATAGGATTATGTATTTAAGCCTATAAACACATGATATGATTTTCAATTTTCTGATTTAACCCATCATGAAACTATTGAGTGAGGTAATTCAAAATACCTCTGAAATAACTTTTCTTCGAGAATTTTCCAATGATAAAAATTGATCTCAGCACTGATTCTGTTCTACATTATTTAGAAAGATTGAATGCTCTGGCAATGCTCGTCATTTTTTGTCTGTATTTAATAACAAATAGTATAGGTTTTTCATTTTATAACGATGAAAAGATAGATTTAATATATTTATGGGTTAACGGTTATGATCCTGTCTGGAAACAGAAGTTTGAATCGAATAAACCTGAAGGTATGCCAAGAGAAGAAGTTCAAGAATTTTTACTGTCATTGAGAACCGCAAGCTACCACATACCATGGATTAACAAAATACACATTATCACCGATGATCAATATCCGTACTGGATGAATTTTACAAATACAAAAATAAATTTCGTCTCCCATAAAACCTTGTTTGGTAACGATGCAGCATTATTCAATAGCAATTCTATACAATTCGGCATCAATAGAATCCCAGGTTTAGCAAATAAATTTATTATTGAAGATGATGACTTTTTTTAGACCAAAAATATTTCGAAATTATACTATTTTAATAACGACAGACCAATCATTCAAATTGATAAACATAAAACAACAATTACAAGAAGGTTTCGATTTGGCTTGAACTGTGAGCCAAATAATAATGGCCAAATATATTTCCATGGTATGTTCAAGGCTTTTGAACTCATTCAAACCAAATACCCTAGATTTCCAACTCCAAAATTTAATTACGCTCATACTTCCTTCCCTTATACCCTTAAATTGTTTAACGAGGCAATGAAGGAGTTTCCAATAGTGCAGGAGCAAATAAAACAAAAATTCAGAACCCGCGACATGATCCAATTTCAAAGTTTCCTCACTTATGCAATAGCCAGGAATGCAGCTGATACAATAGAAGATGATTACATATTATTGTCTAACGAAGGTTGCGATAGCCTTGCAAAACAAATAGTGGAGGGAACATTCGACAAATCATCTGTTTGTATGAACTATTGCGACGCAGAAAGTATTTCAAAGATTATTAATTTTTACCCTAAGAGTGAATATGAAAAAAATGAACTATAAGTTGTATTTTTTTAAAGGTAACTAAACTCCTTTCGCCGATCCGATTTGCTCCATATTTAAAATATAGCTTGCATATGTAGAAGAAAAGCTAATTTTGAAGTACGCCCGAAATCCACCAACAGGATTTCGAGCTACTAAAAAGGTACTTTTAAATGTGATTTTTTTTATAAAAAATTAAATTTATTTTAAGATCAGACTAAAAACTAATTTTATGGAAAATCTATATCGACAAATTTATTACTTATTTGGTATATAGATTTTTTGATTATGGCGATTATGTCTGATATGCTTCCAATAAGCCAAAACACATTTCATACTGATTTCTATAAAAGGTATCTTTATTATAGAAGTGTAAGCTATATCTGTTTGTTTTTTTATTATAACAAATTCAAAATTCTCTTATAAGGATTAGATGAAATCTGTATTACTAAATCATTAGCTAAATGAAGGTTCAAATAGAAAGTAAATATCAATTTATATGATACTGAAACCAAATAGTTCTTTTAATAAAAGATAACACGCTGAAAATTATTGAGTATTTGCAAATCTCAAAAATCTATTGGTGAATTTGGCTCAACTTTTAAAATTATAACATCCATATCAAATCATAAAAGCAGACAAAAATTAAAGTCAAACCTATCGGCCAATTTTTTTTGATATTTTGATTTTTGAGGTATACTTTTAAAAGTGGATTTAAAGCACTGATGAAAAAACATTAACTTCTGTCGTTATGATTATTGATTTAGACAATAATGATTTTAATCTTTGATTATCAAAACACTAAAGTCATCTTTTTAACATTTGCTTGGTAGCATTAACTCAAGTCTAAAGTACTATTTTATGTGGCACTCTTAGAATTTTTGTATTCATTGTACACGCTGAAATAGTACCATTAAAGTTATGGCGGACTTTCAAAAAATAGTTTGGTCACCTTTATTTTTTTTTGAAAAATATGAAATTTTAAACTGTTAGTAAATAGAGATATATTGTTTGATTAAAAAAGCGTATTTTTAATATATATGGTAGTACAAATAGGTTATATGGTAGATTAATAAACAAGAAGAGATAACCTATTGTTATAACTAGGAAAAAAGTGGAATTTGAGAAGTACAACCAGATATACCGCCACTTATTCATTTTCAATGAATTTAGAATTTATCCTCATATTTTGTACATTCTGAATCAATAATTAAGAAATGATCAGAGTATAGGCAGAAGGATCCCAATAAGTATTCGTATGCAATTTTCACCTTGTTTGAAATATCTCAAATATGGTTCCAATTCTATATAACTCATAAATTCAACTATATTATCTTTAAAAATTGCAAGCTATTTAAGAAAATAAAAGATTATTTTACTTAAAAATGAACATGAAATTCATTAGATTCTGTGGGAATCACGGACAAGCTGCATTACGTGGTTGTTAAGTTTATCATTTGCAATAAGCTCTTCAAGCTTGTATGGATAGCGATAGCGCCACTTATGATTTGGATCTGCTGGAATGTTGATTCTTTCAGCTTCAGCAGACTGAAGTCTCAACTCTGGGAAGATTGAAGTGATATCCTGTAGAAGGAAGATGGCCCACATTGAGTTGGACCAGATGTTCTGCTTGAGGATATCCTCTTGTACTTCTGGAGAAAGTGTTTCTGGGCAGGCATCATGTCTACGGAGAATATTGTACCAGAAGTTCTCTCTTGTAGCCTTTGTCTCCTCCCACCATCCGCGGAGTGATGATGTATCATGTGTTGATGGGCAAGCGACTGAAAGATATCCGAATTTGTGGAAATCATCGAAATCTTCTTCTGGAATCTTTGACATTCTCTGGACATGAAGAGAAAGGATGGCTGATTCATCAATAGCTCTAATGATGCCTGCTGTGATTTGACCAAGATCTTCACCGCAGATGAGCATCTTTGTTGCATTCTTGAGAACGTTGAGCTTTGGTTGAGCCTTTTGTACCCAAAGATTTGTCATTCTCTCGTAGAAGAACTTGTGAGCTTCTTCTTTAACGCGCTGCTTGAGTCCTTCATCGAGTTCGTTCCATGATGATGAAACGTAAACTATCGGTCCTTCCTTTGTGGCTTCGACATGATCTTTGATGACTTCTGTTCTCATGTGGTAGAATCCCTTTCTCTCTGGATCTTCGATGAGAATGACGTTGCCAATAAGCTGGAAGAGGCAATACTTGAAGTGCTCGCGCTTCTCATCAGAGAGTGTCTTATCATTCTCAAGAGCCTGAAGAACCTTCTTCTCATTATCGTACTCTGGCTTGAACTCGTAGTAGTCGTCTTGAGCGTTCCAGCCTTTGCTGTTGAAATATTTATGTGAAACATATTCGGCATCACCTTGGAACTTCTCGCAAAGGATGTGCCATCTGATGTATGGCTTTGTGAGTCTGTCAATGTCCCAAAGACCCATTCCATTGAGTTCATCGCGTGAGAATGGAACAGATGGGAAGAAATGTCCAAGAAGACCTCTGACGCATGTTTCACGTGGAACTTCCCAAATTCTGAAGAAGCCAAGGATGTGGTCAACTCTGAGTTGGTGATAGAGTTCAGCCATTCTTGTGAGTCTTGAACGCCACCATGAGAATCCATCCTTTTCCATTGCTTCCCAGTCGTATGTTGGGAATCCCCAGTTCTGGCCATCAGATGAGAAATCATCAGGAGGAGCGCCAGCGCACATGTGGAGCCTGAAGAGTTGTGGGAAGGCCCAGCACTCAACAGAGTTGATGTTAACACCAATTGGAAGATCTCCCTTAAGAGCAACATGATTCTTGGTTGCGTAATCGTATGATTCCTCGAATTGCTTGTCAGCAACATATTGGATCCAGTAGATCTCGAGTAATTCGTTCTTCTTCTTTTCGCAGGCTTCTTCGAGTTCAGCTGGAGTGATTGTTGAATACTTTGGCCACTTGCGGAACTCTGTTGTCTTGTATTCATCTCTGAGGAGGCAGAAGAGAGCGTATGGCTTCAACCATGATCCATTCTTCTTGAGGAATTTCTCGAGATCATTCTTGGCGAACTCATTCTTCTCGAGTTTGAAGATTTGCTTGAGATATTTCATCTTGAAAGCGAAAACTTCTGGATATTCAACTTGCTCGAATTTCTCGAACTTCTCCTTGGCCTCGATGATTTCTTTCTTCATTGCTGCTGGAAGTTTGCTTGTAATAGCAAGAAGATCAATGTAAACTGGATGCAAAGCGAAGCAAGAAACTTGGCGGTATGGATAAGAATCGCACCATTCTCCCTTCTCTGTTGTATCATTGATTGGAAGTAACTGGATAAGAGAAGCACCCATCTTATTGCAAGCATCGACACACTTCTTGAGATCTGTGTATGAACCAATGCCCTGGGATTCGTTTGTTCTAAGGGAGAAGAGAGGAACGTAAATGCCCATTCCCTTGAACAAGTCTTTGTTTGGACTGACGAACCAATCTTGGACGTAGTTCATGATCTTGCCATCAGCCGAAACAGGAGTTGGGCAAATTCTGTTCTCGCAATCTTCCCAAATGAATGTGTTGTTGTCCTTGTTCTCAATGACGTACTTGTATTCGAATGGAAAGGAAGATTTTGCGAAAACTTTGTTTCCTGTCCAAATTGGGAAGCAACCATCTGCTAGAACCAATGATTTCTTTGGATCCCAATTGCCGAGTTCTGGGACATTACCAACGATTCTGAGGACTTGATTTGGTCTGACGTATGGGCAATTTGTTGTGAAATATGTTTGGATCGCATCTCCTGTCTGCTTGACGGAAATTGGCTCGCTTTTGACTGGGCTTTCTCTTGAGTTGATTGCACCAACAAATGTTGCACGGCTGAAGGCGTCAAGAACATTATCTCTCCAGTGGAAGTGGTCTTCAACATTGATGATGACGTTTTCGTTGATCTCGCCTAATACAAGTTTGTGGTTCTGTTCTGGTTCCCACTGTTTGTTATCGCCATTGGAAATAATGTATTTGTATTCGACAACTCTTTGTTCCTTTGACTTTGGAATTTCAACATTTGCTGTCCAGTAGTCTAAGTTTTGCTCAAATTGCATTTTGATTGCCTTTTCTGCATCCCAATTTCCTAATTCTGGAATATTTCCGGAAATGAGAACTTCTTGACCGAAGGCTGTGGACACTCTAACGTGGAAGTGTACTGTAACTCCATTAGCTGCTATAGAGTTCATCTATTTGTCTTTGTTTGTTTAAAAATGAAGTGAAAATTTGAAATAAATCATAAAATTATCAAAATATTCAATTTTGAATGTATTGGAGAAATCGATATTCATTGTACATGTGCATAATTAGAACTACTCTCTATGTATAAGATCAAATTATAATTTTGAGAGCTTTTGGGCCTAAGATAATCTCAAATTTTTCTGAAGATCTGACCCGAACGCCCAAATATCGAGTATTTATATTGTACAAGGTACAAATAGTATTATTACATCACCCATCATTTTCTACCGATATTTGCTAGAAATTGAGAAACATTCAAAAAATTTCTATGATTTACATTTTTTTCTATTGATAAAAAATGCGTACGCCTAAAAACTGTATAAATAAATTGCTCTATTGCAAGCGATTGTTTCATGCTACTTTCCGGTTTTATGAAGAAAAAAAAGATGGAGAAAATATTTTTTGGTGCAAAGTGATCATGAATACATCACGTGGAATAACTAAATAGTAGATGTTCATGCTATATCTCTTTTTGCTTATTAATCTGATGAAAATTCTTTCAATGATAAAAGCGCTTCCATTCATTTTCAATAAGGGTTTCGTTTTGCGAAAAAAACGTACAATACGCAATTTCGCTAAAAAACATTTAGCTAGCAATTTCGACCTTTGACTCCACTCAAGACGTCACTTTTTTAATTTTGCGGTATCATATTTTTGGAAAATCTTTATGAATATTATATAAAAAGTCTCTTTAATATCTATATTTCATATTTTTATCGATTTTTAAAGTTTTTGCGAAAAGTATTCAATTATTTTTGCTATTTGGTCGGGTAAATGTCAGATTTGCGACATTTTCTGATATGATATTCAGATTCTACGTTGATAATAATGCTTATAGAACCCTCTTGCTATTGTGTCAAAATTGCGAAACCGATAGCAAAAATATCTCGCAATATCAAAATTGAGATATTGAGTGAATTATGCATTATAGAGATTAAAAATCTGATTTGTGAAAACATCTCATCAGTTTCTAGCTAATTCAAAAATCTTTACTATCTTATTCGATTAAAATAAAAAGGGAATAGTTTCATTATGCTTTAAATGACAGCCTTATAATATAATCATAGTTTTCGCTCAATATGCAGCATTTTTTTTCGAAATCTATGGTCAATATCCTAAATACTGATTGCTTTGCATTCATATCTCTTACATTTTCTATACCCACATCACTATTCATTGCTATTCCTATCTTTTTCATTTTTGTTTGTTTCTCATAATTTCTCAAAAAACATGATAACTTGATATTTGTAAATATCATACTTTATAACGTAAATAAGAACTTGACCTATTAAGAAAAGCAGTAATGAAAAGAAAATCTGAAATTCATAAAAATTACAAGTTTCTGATGACAATTAGCTTAATTAAACCAGGTACAAGATTATATAATTGTATTTTCTATCCAATTATCCATATAATATCTTATCCAGAAAAAATAACTTGATCAATACCAAATGATTTTTAACTAGTAAATAAAGTATTTTCTTTACACACACATTGTATATCATAGTTTTTTTTTTTTTGGTTTCGCAAAACATCCAAAAACAAATATGCTATAAAAGTGACAATTTTAGCAAAACGAAACCCTTATTTTCAAGCAAACTCTTATTGCAAATACTTTGAAAAACTTCTTCTTCCTTATGTTATTAATACAAATTCAAAAATTATTAACAACAAATTATTCTTGAATAAGCAAAACTAATAGTATCATTGTGGTAGTATCAGAACATATTAAACCATGAGTTATTATCAATAAGATACAAAATTTCGTGATAACAATTTTTTGGATGTAATTATATAATCACCTATGTTAATGCATTGCAAAATGATACTAAGTCATCACATATCTGTTGGTAGTTTTTTGATTTTTGAGATGAAATGATCTTATTACGATAATCTTGATACTGTTCGATATTTTTGATTGAGTTAGCAATAAATTTTGCGACATTCTTAATAGCGCTCAGTTTCTCACTACTGTCTTCTATATTAGGAGTGTTATTAATTGCATTCATAATTATCGACTTAAATAGTATTGTATCATCAATATCAGAGAGTGTCATAAGACTATCTGGTTTGTTTGAACTTTTTTCGTTGGATGATTTTGATTTTCGTGGAGGAGTAGGTTTTGTGAATGGCTCGTCATCAACATCACTTAGTATAATAATTTTATTCTTTTTCTTCGGTTTTTGTAAAGTCTCGTGGCTAATTGGATCAATTTTTTTTAAATCTGGTCGGTAGGAGTCATCAATTTGTAAAGAGGCGATTATATTATTGTCTTGTAGTAAGATAAATTCTGATTTTGTCTCATTTTTTTCGATTTTAAGTGCAAATAATAAAGTATCATCTGTTTTAGAATGAATTTCTATGTTCTTTCCATCATTTTTCGATATTAGGACGCATTCTCCCGTTATGCACTTGTTTAACAAATCTTTAGGAAGTTTGCAAAATGAAACTTTATTCATCCGCTCAATAAAATATGAAATTAATTAACATAAACAGCGTAATATTACAAAATTTTATTAAAATTATAAACAAAAATATATATTAATTATCTTTTTTCTTTTGATTAAATTCGGGAGGTGGAATCATTAAAACAGGAACTACTGTTAGCATAGGAGCTCCATCTGATGCATGCCTAACTCTTATTACACCCTTTCCGTGGTTTGAAATTGCGAATAATCCTCTTGATGGGCAAATATCTCTAACTCTCTTTTTATACAACTTCTCACTGCATCTACCGCTCATATATTGCTCAAAAACATCAACTAGAGGCTCAAATTCCCCTCTCAGCACTAACATGTGCATAATACTTGTAAAAGATTTAATTCTCTTGATCAAAGTCACGCCTTCGAAGGATCCGAATGCTGCATTGATGAACTGCGTCAAGCTCCTCTGCTGTTTCCTCAAGATAAAGCACTGTACGAGCAGTTTCATCACTCGAGGAATTTCAATTGAAGAAATAAACTTAGTTAGCTCTTGGGACTGAATTCTCTCATGGAAAGAATCGGTTATTTCATTCAATACGAGGTTCGTTTTCACATCATACAGATATTCTTCGCCAATTATTGTATGAATCTTTTTGTCAAAGGCGTCGAAGGCCAATAATATTGCAAGAAGCAACTGGATGGCAGATATAAAGATTCTGGGCATATAACATCTTATCTTTGTCTCATTATTTGCCACATTTTCGATAATTTTGAAAAATAATTCAGAAGATCTTTGAATATCTTGGGATATTTCGGATGTCTTAATGATTCCACATATGAGATGTAACAGTTTCTTCAGACTTTCCAAATGATCTTGTACATTAATCGTCATTGGAAGCGTCAAATTCGGTTCAGGGACTTTAGTCATCAACTGGCCGCCTATTACACCGTTCTCATAATGCAGATAGTTTCTCCAAGTGATATCATCAGTCATATAATAATTTCGGAGGGTTTCATCAAAACGGTTTATCAGAATTTTTGATATTTTTGGCCAGTCAACTTTTAGACCCATGAAAACGTCCCAGCATGATTGTCCGTAGAGATCCTTGATTGCTAGGACGAGGTATCCAGGGTATACTTTACTATCATCGTGTTTAAGGAAGGAAAGGGCTTTTTCAATTCTCGAAATTTTAACTTGAGCGTCAGGATAGAACTGTGTGAGCTTGAAATACTCTTCTTGATCAATAATCAGCTGATCGTCAACACCTCCCTCGATGTTACCGCCTTCTGAACCACTCGGAACTGATACAAATTTTGTATTAAACAATAACTGCTCTTTGAAGCCTTCTGGGAGCTGAGTTTCCTTTAGTTCGTAACTCATACCGCGTTTCTCGCTTCTAATGCGAGGAGGCGTTTTGTAATTTGGTAAATTCTGTTGAATTGGAGCTTCTTGATTGATATCATCGCCCATTGCGCACGCAATTGCTGATTTTAAGATCATTGAGCGCTTGAACGGTCGTGATTTTACTTCTTCTTCCTCTTCTGCGCTGTCTTCTGGAATTTGTAAAATATGTTTAATGAAAGAATGTAGGTATTCTGACGCGTTTGCATTCCTTGATATGAAAGGAAGGCATTTTGAGAAGATTTGCTGTGCTGTATATGACTCTCTAAAGAAATGAGTGATTATTGCTGTTAATTTAATGACTTGGTCATCGGAAAGGCCTTCAACGACCTTGAGGAAGTTTGAATATGGTGTGTTATCGCGTGGTTGCTTTGGCTTTTTCGATAAAAAATTCAAAATATCTGATGAAATTTCAGGGAGCAATTGTTCTAACTGTTTTTGTATATCGTCAGCCGTTAAAATGATTGAAGATATCCGATGTGTTGAATTAAATGTTGTAAGAAATATATAACAGGGAAAAGTCAAATTTGAAATTCCAAATTTGTGAAAACTTTTCTGTACTTCTGGATGAGTCTGTTCTAATTGTGATGACAAATCTAATGTGATACGTTTTATTTGATGAAGTGTCTTAACTAACGCTGGTCTTGATTTTAATATGAAATTATCAGGAAAGAATCCAAAAGGAGTTGAGGATCCGGGTATTTCTACCGATCCGCTTAATATTTGTTCACGAGTAATTAATCCTACCCTTGAACTTGAATTTTTTCCTAAACTCAATTTGAAATTTACTCTGACACTTTTTATGAAATATTGGAAAAATAGTATTTTACATGTCAAAAAATCATGGAAATCTGCCTAAAATTTCTGACGTTCATTTTGACAGACAGAAAACTTTCTTTGATATGATTTCTCCTTTCACAGCGACTAGTGCTGAATATTTTGTCAGATTATATCACGATGCCCGCCAAAGAAGCCGAGGAGAAGAAGTTAGTGCCGATGGAACCCCTTTACAAGAAGTTTTAAACGATTCTATAAGAAAATCTCGAGAATTACTTGTCCAAAATCAAGGAACTCAGATCGACAAAGCAGATTCATTGCAAGAACTTTTATTCTTACAAACGCAAGGCGCAAAAATCGATTACATTGATTTCCCAATTTCCGAATTGATGCTAAGTGAGAACTATTCCGTCAAGAGAATGGCGTATCTCGCAGCCTCTCAGTTTTGGGAACCAGATGCAGAAGTCATTACTATGGTTGTTAGTTGCATAAATCGTGATTTAACAGGAATTGATCCAATTCGTAAATCACTTGCCTTAACACTTATACCATTGATCGTTACATCCAGTTTTGCTCAAGATGTCGTCACAAACGTCATCAATAACTTCAATAATTCACGAGATGATATCAGACAAAAGGCTATTACATGTTTTTACAAACTCTGTCTTAAATATCCAGACTGCCTTGTTCCAGGCATCAAAGCATTAAACCTCAAATCCGCTCTTACCGATTCATCTACGCCCGGAGGAACAATTCAAGCAATTCTCGCCTTACTTAACGAATTAGTTATTCATAATCCATCGAACTACAAATCCCTACTTCCCACTTTAGTCAAATTCTTTTCAGATTCTCAAGGAAACCCTTGGATTTTGAACAGAACAATTTCTATCGTTGGTACAATTGCTTCCACGTTAGAACAGTCCGCTTTAGACAAATTCAACGAGAAGATCACACCAATGGTCTCAGAAGTCCTCAATTTCGCATCTTCTCCCTCAGTTGTTTTTGAAATTAATAATTTAATTTGTAAATTGAATATGAAGAACCGCGAACTTGTTCGTACAGCAGCCGACCGAGCTCAATCATTTATAGAAGACAGTGATCCCAATTTGAGGTACCTAGGCCTGATTTCCATCACCAGATTAATGCAAGTCAACCAGAACATCATACAAATACACAAAAAAGTGCTAACTAATTGTATTGACAGTGATGATGAGACCTGTGTATTCATAGCTATCGATTTGCTTTCCAATGTTGCAAACAACAAAAATATTGGTGAAATTGTTTTGTCAATTTTGGAACAGATCGAAAAACGTTCTCAAGGACTTGTTAGAGACACATTAGTTACAAGACTCATTGAGATATGCAAGTTCGACAACTACTCTAGGTTCAGAGATTACCAATGGTACGTAAATGTCCTTTTAACAATCCATTCTTACGGTGTCCAATTAAAAGAAATTTCTGAAGAATTGTTGACAATGGCTTTGCGTGCTAAAAGCACAAGAAAATCTCTGGTTTTAGAGCTCGTCGATTACTTAAAGGACTTCTCACCATCAGACAAAGAATTCCTCTCTGTTGCTTGTTTCATTCTCGGTGAATATTCTTCATTATTCAAAAATTCTCCAGAAAATTTAGAAAATTCTGAAGATGATGAAATTAAAAAAAGTGACAAAAATTTTGATGTCGAAGAGACTGCTTTTAGGTTGTTGTGCTCTGAGAGATTTGAAATGACAGATAAGGAGTGCCAGGCAAATTCAATTCAAAGCGCTTTCAAAATTTACACAAGATCTGACAGTTTACAAAAAATGACGGAAAGAAGTAAAATTTTGAAAGAAAGATTGTCAGTTTATTCGACATCGAGGTATACTGATGTTGTAGAGCGTGCTACGATGCTAAAGGCTTTAATAGACTTGTTCGATGATTTTGACGATATCGACGGTTTGAATTCAATTTATTCGAGTCAATTATTAGCTGTTGATCCAAGTGCTCAGCTAAAAGTTAAGATTCCTTCTACACTTGACATTGCGACACCCATCATTGAATTGGATCCGAGGGAGGAGTCCACTTCTCTCGAATTAGATTTCGAAAACGAAAGTTCTGACTTGTTTGGAACTCCCCTTTTGATTTCGACATCAAGAAACAGAAATATTTTGCAGCCACAGAGAAATAAAACTGAAGAAAAGACTAAACCTGATCTCAGGAAGAAACTAAGACTAACACCTATCCAAAATAATGAAAAAGATGAACTTTTGGCAGTTGAAGGTAAAAGTGAAGTGAAAACTGGCAAAAGTGAAGTGATTTCACCATTATCAGCCATTTCATTTAATGTTGGAGACAACAATGGCAAAGAACTCCCTGTTATCAAGCCATACAACCAAGACGAACTTTTGTACAAAATGCAAAAGAACAAAATCGAACTCAAAAACAAACAAAACATAAGTTACAACTATTTCAAAGTTATTGGTGAGCACAAAGGTTTGTTTTTGGAGGTCAGTTCGATAACAAAAAACTTGGATGGTGTTGACATTCAGTTGAAAATCACAAACTCTTCTAATTTCCCCATTTCTTGCCTCGAAATTACAATTGACGATGTTTTGATGTCAAATGTCAGAAGTGAACTGAATCCGAATTATTCATGTGATGTTAAATGTCATGTGCAAGCGCGTGAGAGTGAAGAAAACAAACTCCTTAAATTGGTTGTGATTCCAACAGGTGGAGAAGGAGAAGGAGAAGTATTGAGAGGAAAAATTAGAATTTCACCTGTTTTGTTTTTGGAAAAGTGCCAAATTTCTGACATTTCTGATTTATGTATTTCAAGCCAAATAATGAAATCAGATCTTCCTGTTTCAAAGATTGTTGATACTGCTAAATTGATCTTCAACTCTTTGATGACAAAGACAGATTTTGAAGGAAATAAATCTGTTGTTTTGTCATCGAAATCGAAGTCATCGAAATTATCTTGTCTTGTTATTATTTACAAGAAAGATGGTTCTTTCTTTTGCGACATAAGAGCTCCTTCTGAAAATATTGCAAAATTATTCTTGACAGAGTTGAAATTATCCCTCGAATAAAAGCATATTTTTTATAGTTTATGGCTGAAACAAATCAATATTAAGGGTGCCGGAAAGTGAAGTGAAAGCTATTATAAAAACAACGCTTTTCAAACCCATAAAATCATTTTTATTTTGATTTGTTTATATGAGTATAAACCTTAAGTGATGATGTATCATAGTATCATATTTAAACTAAGTAAAATCGATGTTTATGAATATATGGTTATCAATAACACACCAGAATCATACAAAATTTTTTAAATCTGGTAGGGGAAAAGTGCTTTTATCTCAATATATGAGAATTGAAAATAAAATTTTAATCAACACAATTTTGAGCTGGGCTCACACTCAATTTTCTGAAGTTTACAAATTTGCAAAGAAACATAGGCTCAAAATAGAGTTGATTAAAATCCTAATTTTCGAAAATTGAAACTTTTCGTTTCAATTTTCGAAAATTATTAATTTGTTCTGTAAAACTTTTAGTATAGCTATTGAAATTGTGTGTTTAATGTATCTCACTGGCTTAAACACAATATTGGAGGACTAGATACAAATCTAATTAAACTTTGAATGAGACCATTTCGACTGAAAACTACTACCATTAAGTTTGTTCCCTAATGGTAATTAGCAGAATCCAGTGAGATGGTAATGCAATCGAACTTAGTTTTGAAGTTACCCACTAATTGCATCTCGACACTTTTTAACACGTGCCAAATGTTTTCTGTAAAATATCTAGTATCTTGTACCTAGATATCATTCCTGGGGTATCAGCCCTTACCATGGAAAAGCCAGGGACTAGATAGGTCCGCAAGTTCGAAAATTGCGAAGCAGTTTTCTTCATACTGGAAGTATCCAAGAACTCAATATCACAGAAATAAAAACTTTAGTATATACACTACTAATATATGTTTCAATATCATTAATCGCGTCACCTCACTTTCCGGCACCCTTAAAAAAATTCAACAACCTATATTTTAGATAAGAATAATTTTGAAATTTACACTTTTATTGCGTTTTTATACGGGTGTGAAGCCTGTTAAAAATGCAATAAAAGTGTAATTATCATACTAATGATTATTTTTGATTCTAAAGTAGAACAGCATTTGAAGCAAAAATAATTGTATGTTTGATAATTTTTATTTTATCGATAAAATATAGAAATTGAGAACTACATCGAGTTGTCAGATTTAATGTCTCAGTAGGCTCTAATTTTAAGGAAAGGGATACATTAAAATTTCCTCTAGGGGAAAAAATTTTTAGTAAGAGAAAAATAAAATGTTTTTTATTAGAAACTATACTTCGGCTGAAGCATAGTCATTATTTGGCAGTTCATCAATTGTTGCCAAAACATTTTCATTAGTTAGTTCATTAGTACCAATGGCTATTGTTTCTTCGTCGTTGTACTCATTATCATCTTTTTTATTTTTCGGTTTAAAATGCACAAAATAATAATAAACTCCAAAACAAATTGCAGCGACGAGCCAGATTCCTATAAGGCTTCCAATTATTATTCCAGCAGTTTTTCCTCCTTTATTAGCTTTATTTTCCTTGGATTTGCTTGGATCACCCGGATTTCCTCCTGGTTGATTTGGATCATCTGGATTTCCTCCTGGTTGACTTGGATCACCTGGATTTCCTCCTGGTTGATTTGGATCACCTGGATTTCCTCCTGGTTGATTTGGATTTTCATATTCACCAGTTTCTTCATTATATTTATAATTTATTGTCTTTCCACCAATTTCATTATTACTATATTTTACCGATATGATTACTTCTTCGCATGATTTGGCATTTTTAAGGAAATCACCCTCAAGTTTGTCTGTTCCAAGATATGTAAATTTGTTTATTGAGCAATCTTTAAATGCATTTGGATCAATAAACTTTATATTATTTGAAATAAAGATTTCAAATTTATCTCCTTTAACAAAAGATTCTGGAATTGTTAATTCATTTATGTTTTCGATGGTGACTTTATCGAGTTTGGTGAAATGAGTCAATGTTGGTAATGATTTGATTTCTTGAAGTCTTATCATCGAATTTGAATTTGATTTTGGAATGTTAAATTTGACTAATTTAACTGTATCTTTGAAGTAATCAAATGTAAGAATACTGAATCCAGTAGTTTCGTAAATCAATTCTGTAATTGGACAATTAACGAATGCATCTGTCTTAACTGAATTTGTGATGTCTTCAGTAGTTTTAATTGTTATACTTGTGAGACTAGAACATGAATCAAATGCACCATTTCCAATTGATGTAACACTATTACCGATTGTTATACTTGTGAGACTAGAACAATTATAAAATGCACTATCTTCAATTGATATAACACTATTAGGAATTGTTATACTTGTGAGTTTAGAACAATTATAAAAAGTATTTTTTCCAATTGATTTAACACCATCAGGAATTGTTATACTTGTGAGACTAGAACATTCATAAAATGCAGTATTTCCAATTGATGTAACACTATTACCGATTGTTATACTTGTGAGACTAGTACATTTACAAAATGCACTATCTTCAATTGATATAACACTATTAGGAATTGTTATACTTGTGAGACTAGTACATTCATAAAATGCAGTATATCCAATTGATGTAACACTATTAGGAATTGTTATACTTGTGAGACTAGAACATTCATAAAATGCTTCATTTCCAATTGATGTAACACTATTAGGAATTGTTATACTTGTGAGACTAGTACATTCATAAAATGCATAAATTCCAATTGATGTAACATTATTAGGAATTGTTATACTTGTGAGTTTAGAACATCCAGAAAATGCACTATTTCCAATTGATGTAACACTATTAGGAATTGTTATACTTGTGAGACTAGAACATTCAGAAAATGCACTATTTCCAATTGATGTAACACTATTAGGAATTGTTATACTTGTGAGTTTAGAACATCCAGAAAATGCACTATCTTCAATTGATGTAACACTATTACCGATTGTTATACTTGTGAGACTAGAACATGAATCAAATGCATAAATTCCAATTGATGTAACATTATTAGGAATTGTTATACTTGTGAGTTTAGAACATTCAGAAAATGCACTATTTCCAATTGATGTAACACTATTAGGAATTGTTATACCTGTGAGACTAGAACATTCAGAAAATGCATAAATTCCAATTGATGTAACACTATTACCGATTGTTATACTTGTGAGACTAGTACATTTACAAAATGCACTATCTTCAATTGATATAACACTATTAGGAATTGTTATACTTGTGAGACTAGAACATTCATAAAATGTACTACTTTCAATTGATTTAGCACTATTAGGAATTGTTATACTTGTGAGACTAGAACATCCAGAAAATGCATTATATCCAATTGATGTAACACTATTAGGAATTGTTATACTTGTGAGACTAGAACATGAATCAAATGCACCATTTCCAATTGATGTAACACTATTAGGAATTGTTATACTTGTGAGACTAGTACATTCATAAAATGCATAAATTCCAATTGATGTAACACTATTAGGAATTGTTATACTTGTGAGTTTAGAACATCCAGAAAATGCACTATTTCCAATTGATGTAACACTATTAGGAATTGTTATACTTGTGAGACTAGTACATTCATAAAATGCACTATCTTCAATTGATGGTTTGCCACTTGGAATTGCATAACTGCCTTCCGGACAATAACAGTATGCAGATGAAAATAGGCAAAACAACATTCTAGGAAAATGAAATTTTAATAAACCTCTCAATATTTTCAAAAAAAAAAAAAAAAAAAACTAGTTTTTGACTAGTCAAAGAAGTGATCCCACTCACAAATAATGTGATCTTAGAAAAAAAAAAAAAAAAAAAAAAAAAAAAAAGGTAGTGGGGCTTCCAGGCACTTCGTGCCCTCTAGCCCCGAAGATGTTTAGTATAAATGAAGTTTTTATTCGGAAAATTGTTAGTCTTCTGGTGTGAATTCGGAGGACTCTTCTTCTTCCTCCATTGCTTCTGGGAAGAAGCCTTCTTCTGGGTCGAAAACATTATATAATGTTTCACTTTTCACAAATTATATATGTTTTCATGTTTTGTCACTTTTCTGTCACTTTTCAGGAAAAAACATTTTTATTATTATATATAAATGAATTTTACAAAACCTCCGTTACCGTTCTTTGGAAATAAGAGTAAATGTAAAGATATTATATTGAGAGAACTTAAGAAACTACCGAATGGTCTAACATTTGTAGATTTGTTCGGTGGAAGTTTCTATATATCCCATTTATGTCATACAATATTCCCAGACTCAAAGATTATATGCAATGACTTCGACAACTATATGGACCGTCTCAAACATATTCCAGACACAAACAATATATGAAAGAGTTAAAAGAAAAGATACCTATAGGTAAGATGGAACGTATACCATTAGATAACAAAAATATTGTGAGAGAGGTTTTGAAAAAAGCAGAATATATAGACTGGGATAGTATATCTGCTAGACTATTATATAGTGGTTCTATAAGAGTTCATGACATTGAAACACTTATGTCAAAAGTTTTATATCTTAACTATACAAATGTTTTCAAAGAGGACATAGAAAAATATATTGAGGGTATAGAGTTTGTGAGATGTCATTGGACAGATTTGTATGAAAAATATAAAGACAAGGAAAATGTTTTCTTTATAGTGGACCCGCCGTTCTATAACACATGGGATTTTCAATACCAAGTAGACTGGACTTTGAGAGACTCTTTAGAAACTTTAGACGTTTTACATAACCATCCATGCTTTTACTTTACATCCGATAAAAGTGGTTTGGAAAGTGTCATGAGATGGTTAGAGGACATACATGACTATGATTTTAGATACGATAAGATAGAATATGAGAGAGGTCCTATAAACTGGAGAAAGTGTCATAACAAAGAAATTTTATTGGTAAGTAAATGTGGTTTGAAATAGGACTACTTGTTTTAGGTTTTTTCCATTGTGTCATTTATTTATTTGACGTGGCAGAAAAGTACAGAGAATATGAAGATGAACCAATGCCTGCAAATGTTCAGTATATGTACTCGTAAGAGATATTTTTATCTAATATTAAATGGACGCACAGAACTTAGCGAATGCACAGCAACCTGGACAACCAAACCCAGAGAATATTCCAAATGAAGTTAGAATACAAACTGCAATGGCAAACTATGGTCAAGTGCCAACAGATGTACAAATGCAAACTGCCATGTCAAATGACGCTGCGTTAGGTTTGCCACCATGGTATGCAAATATGAGATGGAAAGAGTTTTATACAAACCCTGAAGTGGGATATAAACAACTTTATGCAGATGACGCGAGCACAGGAGTTGACCCAGAATATGTTTTCTACCAGAGGAGAAACAGAATGTATGAGCTCCAGTTAAAGAATGCTATGGAACTCAACAGGAAACGTAAGAGACTAGGCGGACATTAGATTTTTACATATAGTAAAATGGGTTTCTTCAGTAAGATAGGAAACTTCTTTCGAAATGTTGGAAGAGGTATATGGAATGGAATAAAAACCGTAGGAAGAGGAATTTGGAACGGAGTCAAAAATATTGGTAAAAGAGTAGGTCAGTTCGTTGGTATTATACCTAAAGACCCTGAACCAGAAGAACAAGCTCCTGTTATACAACAGCCTGAACCTGCACCACAGTCTAGTTGGCAACCAAATCCAACACCTCAACCGTATTAAAAATTATATTTTTACCGTTCGATAGTAGTTGTATATGAAACTAAGTTCTAAGTAAAACGCATGGTATAATGGAATTATTCTCTTTCTTCCATCTGTAGTAAACCATACTTGAAAGTCTGAAATACTTCCACTTGGTGGTTCATATAACTTTGTAGGTTTTTCGTAAAAGTCATTTGCCAAGCATAAGAAAGAGTTTTGAGCGCCAGAAAATGAAGCATGAACAATAATAGCAGCTGGGTCGAAAACATCTTTAAATAAATATGGTTCATCTCTTGCATATCGACTGTAAATATTTGCTAAAGGAAGTTTGACTTTCTGATTTAACATTCTTTGCAAATAATACCATGACATTGCAGTGAATTCTGTATATATTTGTTCGTCTTTCTTTGGATTGTCTTCGTAGATTTGAAATGACACTTGTGAATTTTGTTTGTCATATACAATTCTCACATAAAGTGTGCTCTCGGTATTTGCATATTCATCAGCATATTTTGCATAACATGAATTTATTTTATCTTCTATATTTTTTAACGCAGTCTGTAGAGAAGATGAAAGGTCAACTTGTATTAGCTCAATTTCTTCCCACATTTTTCGTTTCCCTTCAGATATATAATCTATATGAAACCTTACAATAAATGGAAAACTTTTATCTTCTACAGACACAAATTTTATTCTACGAAAGCCAATAGCTTTTGTGACAGATGGGTCTCTTAGCCATCTTAATGGGTAGTCAAAACGATAGCCTTCATGCTTTACGGTCTCTGTCTCAAACTTTTGACCGACATTAGTAAAAAGTTCATCTAATGGTTTAGTTGTAGCAACTCTTGAATTTTCTTTTTCTATTGGAAGCATATTTTATCTAGAATAAAAATGTCAAATGAAACAGCGTCTATGAGAGAAATACAACACAACCGACAACTCATTATGCAAGCTCTAAATAAGAACACAACAAACTTTTCAAACTATTCTAAGATATCTGAGTCATTGAAAGAAGGAAACTTAAAACTGACATTAAACCCAATGACAGATGAGTTTCTGTTTCAAGACAATAAGAACCATACTGTCTGTATAAATCCAACAAAAGGAACTTTAAACGAGAAACCTATAAATGAACTTCTTTTGAAAACAGATGTTGACAACAAAGCTGACAAAGAATATGTAGACGATGCAATAGCAAAAGAAGAAGAAAGAGCTAACAATGCTTATGCAACAAAAGAACATACTCATCCTGAACTAGCAGACAAAACATATGTTGACAATAAAATGTCAAGTGAAGTGACAAGAGCTGAAAACGAATATTCTAAAAAGACTCATACACATTCTATATCTGAAATAACAGACTTACAAGAAACCTTAAACAGTAAAAGTGCCGTTGGACATACACATACCATTGCAAATATTACAAACTTACAAGAAACCTTAAACAGGAAAAGTGACGTTGGACATACACATACCATTGCAAATATTACAAACTTACAAGAAACCTTAAACAGGAAAAGTGCCGTTGGACATACACATACATCTTCTGAAATAACAGACTTAAACGTTAGCCTTGAAAATAAAGCAGATAAAACATATGTCAATGAAATATACCAAAGTTTAGTTGGAACAAAAAATATTGAGACTATTGTTGGTGACCTTTCTGTCAATGAAGAAAATAAATATTTTAGATGGCAGTTGGTACAGTCCTTAGAAAATGGTACACGGTATAAACTCATTCCGAAAAATAACAATGAAATGTATGTAAGCTATAAAAAGAGTGATGGTACACAAGTTAAAGTTCCATTAGACAACAACTGCTACTTAAACTTATATGGAGACGAACAAAAGAAATATTTAAGAGTTTATGAAATGACAGATATGACATTGCCTGACCCAGCTCCAGCACCATATTATTATGACTATGGAGATGACGTCAGAACACCACATGTAGATGAACAAAAGCTAACATTATATTTAGATTTTTATAGATATAAAAGATATAATGCAATAGAAAAAACGAGAATAGTATACTATTATGAAGATGACAGAAATAAATATTATAGTCAAGACTTTACCTACCCTGAAAACATAAGATTATATTATAAAAAATATTCTGACACAAACCAGAAGAAACCTGAAATAGTTGCACTATTTTAAGTTCAAAAGAGACAATCCTATAATGTCTCATATGTTTGATTTAATGAACCCAGTAGGTTCTATTTATACATCTATGGAAGCAAGAGGTCCTCAAGTAATGTTTGGTGTTGGGGCATGGGAACAAATAGTCGACAGGTTTTTGTATTGTGCAAACTCTTCAAAGGAAACAGGTGGAAGTAAAACGATTTCAGGTGAAAATTTACCTGCGCACAGTCACTACATAGATTTAAGTACATCTCAAGCAGGTGGCATAGCATAGATATTGGGATTGGTCAGGAATGACAAAAGGTCAAGGATATGATGTTAAAGACGACGTTAAGTTTGCTATAAATTGTTACTGGGATGACACTCAGGGAGAAGAAACCATACACATTTCGTTTCAGGATATACACAAACAACGGGACAAAGTAAAGAATACATGCCACCTTACATGACAGTTTACGCATGGTATAGAATTGCTTAGTCGTCATTTTCAACTTCTTTAGCATATTCGTCAGGAGTTGTCTTATATTTGTTAGGAACTGTCTTTGAAAGTATACCACCTTGAACTTTGACAAGTTTGAAACGAGGTCTGACAATAGTCGTTTTATCTTTCTGCTTGCAGTCTGTACATTTTGCCATGTTTGCCTAAAACTTCATAATATTCTCTTGTATACTTTCTTCTATTTTTACGAACACGAATGTGAGTACCTGTCGAGTTCCCATTGTTGTCATAGTCAATAGTATTTTCATATGGGTCGCGTTTAGGTATTTCTATTTTTACTTTGTCACCTTTCTTAAGTTTGAAGCCTGGCATTCTTTCTTGTTTGTCTCTTTTGACTAAATTGTGAAATATATAGTCTTTCTCTAAGTCAGGGTTGTTTTTCATTTCTTCAG